ACCAACGATAGGCAACAAATGTAATTTGTACAACGTATCTCTCGTCTCGTCTCGTCTCATCGGCTCCCCATTGCCCACAATTCTCCAGACAAATTTTCACCGATTATTCAGGCCGCGATTCTCAATCGATCGAAGCAGTTCTTAGACTAATTGCAGTTTATTTATAACTCTGAAGATTACGGAGTCTCCGAAGATTGTATAAAATAAATATCTGTGTATGTGTGTGTGTGTGTGTGTGTGTGTGTGTGTGTGTGTGAGTGTGTGTGTGTATGGTACCAAGGATATAATTTAAATAAAAAGATGAATAAAATGGAACAAAATAGAGTAAAATAGGATAAAATAGAATAAAATAGAATAAAATAGAATAAAATAAAAGAGATAAGAAACTGTACGCGAGACCGTCACATCAGTGATTCCTACGTTATTATTTGACGTGCTTAAGCGGTCATCTCGGATGAATATCGCCCAATCGACAGGTCGTACGTGGCGATCGAGATACGAATAATTATTCAGCTAATCGGGAAAAAAAGAAAACAGGTCGCGCAACCAGGTAGATTTGACGTCGATCGCGTCTCGCACCTAATGTCAAGCGGAGCACTTCAGGTCATCGTAGGTTTTCTGCGGATTTGCATAGCGTCGGAGACCGCACATTGTGACGCGCGTATTGTATCGCGAGGTCACACGAGGTGCGCGCGTGCACGCGGCTTGTTGTGCACGCGCAAACATATATTATATGAGTTGTGTAGGTCTAGGTTCCTCCAGTGGCCCGGAGGGAGCGAGAGGAGGGGGGGGAAGGGGAGAGATGACGGGCTGTGATAAACCGACCAGAGTTTGATAACATCGCCCACACCGAAACGAACGCGCATGAAAGGTCGAACGCGCGCGGCACCGCGAAGTGCATACGTCGAGAGCGAGTAAGTAACGTAAGTACGTAGATAGAGCGATACTTTAGCGTAGCGCTGGGCCGTCAACGACGTCCCGCTGTGTGACGTTACGTTATTTTACCGCGAGAAAAGGCGCGAGCGCGTACACAATGTACCGTACGTCATCTCCGCGCGGGGATGTCTCGCGATAACGCGTCGCGGCGAAACGTCAAAAACGACGACGTCAGGTGCTGGAGAAAGGGAGACAGGGAAAAAGAGACGGCGGGAAGGGGGGAGAGGAAGAGGTGAACGAGTAGCGAATAATAATGCCGTAATCGCAACGTTGCGCTGATTTCGGAAGATCCGCAGCTCGCGCAATTGAATCTCGCATTTTCGGATTTCCAGAACCGCGCACCGACCGGATGGCCCGATACGTCACTCGACGCAGGCAGCATCTATGAGGAATTACAATGTATACCCGTAGAATCGGAGCGTTGTGTTCTATATGCGCATACGCGTATAAAATCGTAATTGCGACCCAGCGCGCCGCGGATTCTATCGTGAGAGCCGCATAAATAACGAATATTGTCTCGACGATTTTACAGCGAATAAGAAAAATCGGAAAAGGGATAAAGATGATAAAAAAAAAAATAAAGTCGGACGAAACACATCGAATCCAGGTAAAAAGGGACTCCTCAGGCTTCAGGTTTGTACACGGTCAGTTTTATTATCGCTCTCTCTCTCTCTTTCGATTTGTCGCTCGTCACGAGACGAGTTTGAGATTCAATGCGATCGCGCATCGTCATTTACCGCGATCGCTTGCAAACGCGAGTTTGCCGAAAGCTCGCGTTATCGGGAAAATCTCGCGACTTCGTGATGTCGCGGGTTAATTAAGCGGCGCGATTAATACCGGCCAAGAGCAAATGGGGCAATGTGTTTTCAGTGATGTGCAATTAATAGTTATAACTTGATAAAACACGATGAAATTAATAGTTGACTTTATTATCGGGAAATTCATTATACGTCGCCCTATTTAGCCAACGAGCTTGATCGGCTTGCCGGAGCGTATCGCGCGCGCGCGCGATTTACTTTGTTGCTGATATTTAAATCGTCGTACAAAAGCATCCGCGCGATCGCGGATCATCATCCTCAAACGTTGGGCCTGTGCCTCGATCTCACGATTGCGACGTTCGCCTTGAGCGATTGACCAAAAGAAAACACAAGTCGCGAGATTAAGGACGGTATATTGACAACGACACAAATACGGCTGCGAGTTTTTTCGCCGCCGGTATATCTTCCTCTTATCTTCTCCTTTTTTTTTCGCGAAGCATGTAATTGGACGTGCGCATAGTCACGCATGCGAAAAACGCTCGAGAAAGAGAGAGAGAGAGAGAGAGAGAGAGAGAGAGAGAGAGAGGGAGAGAGAGAGCGAGCGAGATAATAAATTAATTAGAAATCTTCCCTTCGCACACAAACGCACTAAAAAATTGTGTCACCGCGTCGCTCACTCCATATCAGAACTTGCCGGTGGAGCGAGACGATGTAACAAATCTCAAGCGACGTGCACAATTGTTCACGTACGCGTTAATCAATATTCCTATCCACACACGTGTAACTACACGACACGTCCGATTCTTTTCCTCTTCCTTTCGAATTCGCGTTTGATCCGAGCCGCGAGTGGCCACTGGTCCTGAATTTACGATCGGTTACTGCCGCGCGACAAACAGATTAATTTGCATCTCGCTATTTATATTTCCGTTATGATCGATATATTTTTACACCGTCCCCCTCCCCCCCCCCCCGAGTCGCGATGCAACAATGACAAGGCCGAATGCGAAAAAGCAGACTGCGAGCGTCGCTCGCTGCATCCGGCTGGTCGCAGGTGTCTGCCTTATCGACAGTCCTCCGCAGGCGAGAGATCAGCCGGTCGCAGATGGCGGTACGAAACGGAACGCTCGCAAAACGCTCGAGCTTTCTAATATTTAACAACGATAGCGCGATACATACACACACGGCTCCGATATCTCGGCGACGCGACGTTGCGTTGTTGCGTCTTTATGAGCTTTCGGCACGAGCGAATCCGCGATGCAGCAACTCCAGCATGTCGACGGCCAAATCAGAGAGACACGTCGGGCCGCGCGCGCGTTCTACGAAGCGCCGATTTACATCCTCATGGAATCTGAATCGCGAAGTAATCATCGCCCGTCGGAGCGCGCTTTATATGCGTCGTACTTCATACGAAGCGTCGTTCCCCGGCGCCGCGAATTAATAAGTCAACGTGCGCCTTAATCAATGCGCAACGATATAAGACTGCAAATTACGTGTCACCAGAGACAAGTCTATCGCGAATGCATATACGGGAAATTACTTCACATTGGCCAGACACTTGTATTGCGTGTCCATCCCGTCGCGTCGGCGAAGTCGCGCGCTACACAGTACTTCCAATTGGTGGGCGCGCGCCGTCGCGCTCATAAATAACAAACAACTTCTCAGGAGCCCCGTCGGATCGCGGCCATCTCAGTTTACTCGTTTACGAGCGTTTCGGCGCGACAGCGAGCGAGCTCCGAAAAATCGACGGCTGACTGCGATTCTCGAACATGTGTGAAAAATCGATATGCGATATTTCATCAATGGGGCTACTTAATCGGCTCTCACACCCGTATTCATAGCCAGACCTTATATTTAAGGCCTCCTTAAGCCTTTATCTTCAGATGCTCCGTAGCCAATAAAATAATCCGTGCAGCATCTGAAGATGGATATATGCGATGGTAGAAGAATCTCATGATATCTAGTGACACTCGTCAAATATCGTACGCGACATTTTTCGAGAATTGAGCCCCTGACCCCGTGGCCGCGACTGCCGCGACGATTACGACTCATCTGACGCGCGAGCAGGATAATACAAGCGTGATGTACCTACTTGTGCAGCCTTGCAACAGCGTGCGCGTACTCTAACCTACGCTACGCGCGAGGCGACCGTCGCCCTGCCTCCGTCAAGGGCCGATTTTCATAAGACTGAGGTTGCAAGGGCCGTGACGTACGAAGAGCGAGACCGAGACTCGAGCAGCTGGCGAAGCGAGCGAGTGAGCGAGCGATCGGTCGATCGCGCGATCGATCGCGCTCGACAACTTCAGAGTACGTGATTCGCTTCTCGATAAGTACATCTTCGAGAATTCTCGAGGATGGTGGAGCGGCTCGCTGCCCGAGGCGAGTTCCGCGCGCTCTCACGTTGCCCCCACGTGCCGTTCGTCGCACGAGATACAATTAATCAAGAGCCGGAGGACTCGACGAGGACCTCGGCCCTCGACAGAACAAAGGGAGGCCGTCGCGCAGGATCCCGGAGATCCGTATCGCCGTCAGCTGGAGCTCCCGAGCCCCCACGGCGCCGATCGGATTGCCGCAACAGGAGGCAACCGCTGTCATATCCTGTCCATCCCCGAATGCGCTCGCGCTCGACGTCGACGACGTCGACGACGACGTGAACGCTCCTCTCGCGGGAGTCGCGTTCTTTTGTATCCCGCGTCGCCTCCCGCTCGCCCCGGATCTATCGACTCCCCGTGACAGGCGTGTAACGAGCGCGCGGGATCGTCGGGAGAAATCCCGAGATGCCGCCGTGGCGTTCGCCCGACTATCGACTCGGCCGCGAGCGACTCGCCGTCGCGGAGCAGGATCAATAAATCTCTCGCGCGCCCGACGGAGGCGCGTCGCGGCGCATCCTGACGCATCCTACCTGCCTGCCTACCTGCCTGCCTGCCTGCCTGCTCGCGACCTTCGAGGGGTTGAAAATTCTTCTCTCCCCCTCCCGCTTTCTCTCTGTGTGCCTCTCGGTCCACCGAAATTCGCGACACACGCGTGCGTGCGTGCGTAAGCGTGTCATGTGCGTATGCGTGCAACAGCGACACAATCATACGCTCGCGCTTGTCGCGCGACTGTGCGCGTCTGTGTGTGGCTTCGCCGAGTGTATACACACATACGCACCTACGCACGCGTGCATGCGCGCGCGCACAGTGCACACGCATACGGATGTGTGTGTGTGTGTGCATGCGCGCTGCGCGAAGGCCATGTCCGACAGACTGTGGTCTGACGGCTGACTTTTGCGAAAGGTAAACAGGCGAAAGAAGACGATTTGCTACTCACGGTTTTTCGCCGGCGGGCCCGCCGCTCCCACACGATCTCTCCCCCGTCGGGTGCGCGCCTCGGTAATTATTTGATTTTGCACGGCAACATTATTGTGCGTCCACTAAAAAAAAAGAGAGGGAATGAGGGAGGAGGGAGTGAGGAGGACGAGCGAACGAGCGAGCAAGAGAAAGAGAGAGAGAGAGAGAAGGAGCGCACGATAATCGGACGTAGGTAAGAGGGAGAAGGAGATAGATCAAGAGAGAGAGAGAGAGAGAGAGAGAGACGCGATACACACGCACACAGAACGAAAGAAAGAAAAAAGAGAGACCGAGGAGAAAAGGAGAGGAGAGGAGAGGAGAGGAGAGGAGAGGAGAGACACACACAGAGAGAGAGAGAGAGAAAGAAAGGAGGAGAAAAAGACGAAGGGTGAGAGGGGGAGAGAGAAAGAGAAAGAGAGAGAGAGAGAGAGAGAGAGAGAGAGAGAGAGAAAGACACACCGAGAGTGCTCGCTTGATCAAAAGCACAATTTTCGTGACGTCATCGGCGGTCGGGCATGCGCGAACGGATTTCAGTGATTTTCCACGCACGACGAAACACGTGCGACGAGTCGGTCGACGCCACTACTGCTCCCGCACTCAGCACTACATATCGCTAAGAAACGCGCGGCATTATCGCGTCGAAGCGGCGGCACGGGCTTCCACAGATACCGAGCGCGATTCGCGAGAGCCACCGCGGCTGCCGACATCTATCCATCCACTCCCACTTGTTAAGTGACGTACACTGACGTCATCGATAGTTTACCTTGAGGCATGACATTGAGCAGCAGGTCGGCCAATCGCCGTCCGGCAAAAGTTCCCGCGCGCACTGGCCGCGCGCGAGCGGGGGCGCGCGCGACTGTCGATTCGCATTGCGCGCGACCACGACGATGACGACGACGACGACGACGACGACGACGACGACGATGATAGAGATCTCCCGCGGCGAGAGCGCCGCGATCGTTTTCGGTTTCACCCGAACCTTCGAACGCGCTCTATGCAGCGGTGTAAATCAGCTTTTCCGGCGTTCGACCTCAACATTCCAACGAGCCGATTGGAAGCAAAGAGCAGCTTCATCATTCGAGTCCCTGTGATCTCGACTCGAGACATTCTCTTTCCCGAAATGAGCGATTTCGAACGATTTGTATCGATTTGTCTCTCTCTCTCTCTCTCTCTCTCTCTCTCTCTCTCTCTCTCTCTCTCTCTCTCTCTCTCTCTCTCTCTCTCTCTCTCTCTCTCTCTCACATGCACCGCGCTCACAAATCTCAAGCTTGCTTAGGTTTCGGTTTTTGTATGTGAATTTTACAGTTTCTAGTTGAAATGCATAATATCTCGTTCTTGTGTACGATTTTATATAATTATATAATTTGCAAGATTTTTCTAAAGTGTTACGTAGAGTTTCTCAGCAATTTTCTATAAAATTTCAAAGTACCATGCCACAAAGCCGCAGCTTCGCTCCGTGTCGCAGCATAACGAGGTAGGCGAATAAAATGAGAAAGGTAGGGTTACAAAGATGTGCGATGTAGACTTACGCTAAAATTAAAGCGTCGCTTAAACTTAGAATGCCACGCTCAGCATGCGCCGTCGTATCGTTGCGGACTAATCGCTTTCGTGCTCGAACAGAAAGATGAAGTCGATATCCATGCGACCGTGATTATTTCAGAGTATATATCCCCCGCGGTGAATGCAGCCCTTCCGCTCCTAATGGAGGACAAAGTGCGCTATTAACATATCGCAATCTTACATCATTAATATAGTTACGATACCCGCCGAGTCGTTAGACTCCCTTCAAAAAGAAAAGAAAGCTGTAATTACGAGGGTGTATAAAGCAGCTTTAAAGCCGCTATTATAAAATTGACCGGAACACACTCGTCTTTATTCTCCCCGACTGTTCTCGTTTACTCAACATTCACTCAACAATATTTCGCTGCGCATCGTCGGAATGTCGCGCGTCGGTCCCGATCACGTCGTTACACTCCGTCGGCGGAATGAGGACGGAGGAAAGTGCTGGATAATCCGAACTATCAACGCTATTTTATCACCGTACTTTGCGTCCGCAAATACTATTCGCAAATCTCTCAAACAAATATCGGGAGTCATGTCTGCTCGCTTCTGCCAGAGGATCCCAGGAAGCACAAACCTCGCCTAAAACCGGACGTCTAAAGCGCAAGACCATTTGTCATCTTTGTGATCACGCGTTGAATCACTTTGTCGCGAAGCATTCTCACGCACGCACGCGCGTGCACGCGCGCTTAATGAAAATTTCATCAGTATCGCGCGCATTTCTCGCGCGCATTTCCCATGCGCGTGCACGCGCGTGGAAAAACACCACGGCGAATCAGCCGGCTGTGCGTTCTAATGAACTACGGGCCAGCCGAGAGTCGAGCCGCGGCTTTTTCGCCGCGCGGTGTGCATGCATACGCCAGCACGTCATTCACACCGGCGTGATGTAAGGCGCGGGCGCTAAACTGCGCGCCCGCGCCCGGGTCTCGTGCTAACTAGTAATAAACGCGAATGCCCACACGAGACCTCGGACACGCGCGGCGACATTTATATGCATAATAATAATGATGGTGATAATAATAATAATAATAATAATAATAATAACAGTAACAATAACATAATAATAATAATAATAATAGAAACAACAATCCACGCGAGATCAGGCGAAAATCCGCGGCGCACGTAGGTGTAGTCGCGCCGTGCGAACGCACGAGAGCGAATAATCTTATCGTGATATATTCCGACACCTTTTCTCCTTTCGCCTTTCGGTAGATGGATGGAAAAAGGATCGAAACGGAATTTACCGTGCGCAATTCGCCGTGGTGCTGGTGGCCTCGTTGACTCCGACGTCGTGCGATGCGCGTAACAACTGGCAATTTCATACTGAACTCTCGCTATTTGCCGAGTGGAGACTCGAAAGCTTCCGAGTCGACTTGAAATGATCGATGCTGCTGTTGGCCCTTCTGATTGGTTTCCGATCGGTTTCGATGCGCGCGTCGCGCGGCTCACTTCGCTCCGCGGGCGGCAACTGTTGTCGCGTGGAGATCGTGTTTTGACATTTTGACGATAAGGGGATTAATGTTCGCGATATATATATATATATGTCGAATGCCGTGATGTTGCAGGCTTCCGGATTCGATAGTCGAGGTAGAAGTTGGAGTTTAATGTGAGAGCTTACGAAGATGGCTTGTAAAAAGAAGCACGTGACTTCTCGCGAAAAATTGCGCGAACCGTCTTGAATGAGAGAACGTATATGTAGGCTATTTGGCGCGTCATCGTGAACGGTCGGTGATCTAACCTTATTTGCGTTCACGGGGAAACGGTAATGCACTTGCGAGTCGATATCGTTTATCCTTTCTTCCATCCGACGAGCCTCCCACCGCGGTTTCGAAACTTACATTGTCTGAACTTTTCCTTGTAATTTCGCTCGAACTTATCTCGCCGTATCTATTTGCGAATGTTCGTTTGCATACAATATAAAATGCTTAGGTTATCGCGCGCGACGTTGGGAAACAAGCGAGGACAACGAAACAAATGAAAGACGAATGGCACATGGTCGCGAGAAGAGACAGGGAGATGTTCACGATTCCTTTGTAAATTCCCCGTCAGACGGAAGTAATCGAACCGAATCTGAACGTGCAAAACTCTACGCACGCCGCGCGGCCTCGTCTGTCGCTCATCATTTTTTCCTGCATAGTGAATAAATCGAGAATTGGAAGATGAATGTTAGACATCCCGTGAGTATCGCGAATCTCAGGGAAAATATGATTGTATGACGAATCATTTCATAAAGTGTCGTGTAAATATCTGATACCTATCGAAAAACCCGATATCCCCCAAATAATGTTCGAACATTACACAATTTGAAAACACACGTCGACGTCTCTTACAGTTTTGTAACGGTACGCGGATAAAAGTAAATTGACAGATTTATTATTTCAGGATTAGTTGTGACATTGGATTCTCGTTTTTTATAAATGGGGATTACGGAGAATTTTATGAAATAACTTTCAAAAAATATATGGCTTCTCTTCACAATATGTTAAGTTAAAAAACGATATTCATCAATATGTTTTTTAAATGCATGTGAAACCATGTATGAACCATACGATATTCACTACGTGAGACAAATAATACTAGGATTTGGTAATGTGCTTGTCGATTGAATGTCCCTAGAGAGGACGGAAAGCGCGATGTGGTTTCTGTCAAGTGTTACATACGTATCTCTGTTATTTCTGTAAACTTCATACTAATTTAACTATTTGTCATTATCGATTATTGAATTTCCAACTATGTTAATCAGGATATTTTGGCGCAATAGGAGAGACAAAAAGACATATGCATCATCGTATAACTTTATCACTATATGGTAAATGTTCTATATAAACAACATTTATATAGCATATTATTTGTTTTTAATTTTTGGGAGCTTCCATTTTTTCAGAAGATCGAAATTAGTAGAGAAAGTGTAAGGTGTATGCTTTACATATTATGTCAATCTTGCTTGTATAATTAATACAATATACGCAATAGAATTAATTTTAAATATATAATATAGTTGTTGGTTGTCATGATCCGTATCATCATGCTCATATGTAAAGTTATAAACAGTTTAATAAATTTGAAATGTATTTAATAAAATGTAATATGTTGTTAGCACACTTCAATAACACAACATAAATTTTTTTCTATATAATTCTATATAATTCAAAAGTTATTTTCTCTTTAAAAGATATATTGTGTTGTATCATTTTTGTGCAGTTGCAGTGGTAAATAAATGACAATGGCGCACACCAGTCAAAACCATGAAGCATTCAAAAGCGCAAAACTAAAAGAAAACCGACAATATGAAATCCCAGAGGATAAGAGTGCTGCACAGACTGGCTTAGACATATTATGTGCATCTCAAGTAGATCGCAATATAAGCGACGAAAATGTAGAGAAAAAGATATCACTGTTGAAACATTTACTAGGAAAGGATTTGAAAGCTGCTGATTTTAAATGGTCTCTTTTTGTAGCAGCATCCAACACTTATCGCTATGATACTTGTTTAAAGCCATTTCCACCCATGTACATTAAAAATGAATGCAAGGATATCGAAGCATTGGTATAACCTCTGATAATACCAAATAATGTCTCTCTGTGCAATAACATATGATAATTTGATTACTTTTTTGCAGAGGAGGGCTATAGAGACAGTCCCTCCTTTGTCTGTAATATTCAAAGAACTCAGTGAAGCTGGTGTATATGAAAACTATGGTGAGGCAATAGAATTATTATATTGGGTATTGCTACGATTAAGAGATCCACATATCAAGAGTGTGCAGAAGGAATACGTAAGTTTATTATTTGCAACATAGAAATTGTTTTGAAAATCGATACGACTCACAATTTTACACATGGCATAAGTTTCAAACAGATAAAATCTTATATTGCAGTACGATTGGGTACTAAAAAAGGTACCCCTGGAAATGCCAGCTGCAGCACCAAATCTCATATTCCAAGTAGAGAGTATGAAACAATCTACGATGGAAGAGAAATGGAAGTCGATCAGGAAAGATCAAACGACATTTTATGCGTATCATGGAACTCGTTTGGAAAATTTCCATTCCATTGTGCATTATGGTTTGCAGCAGAACATGTGCAAGGTACGATGATCAATGTGGAATAAAATAGGATTTGTTCTTTCATTGCTCCATTGTATGTTCCTTTCTCATTTGGGTAACTTTAAGTTTGCTAAACGTCCTTACACAACTCATTGTCACAGAGATCGGAATTTGGCAAGGGAATATATCTTTCGAGCGAATTAGGGGTGAGTTTACCCTACAGTCCTGTGGGTTATGGATGGGGAGGTAGTGTTCTTGGAAGCGAGATAAGTTGCATAGCACTTTGTGAACTGATTAATCATCCTGATATAAAGAGAGGCGACTCAAGTGAGTATACAGTGAATCTTTGAGTAATTATAGTTTACCATACGATAAAATCTCAAGGGCAAGTGTCTGTGATAGTATTACTTTTTAGGTGATGTTATGCAAAACACATTGGACGATTCTATGGGTGGTAGAATACCGAATAAGTATTACGTGGTGACCAATAGCGACTTGGTGAAAGTACGCTATTTGCTCGTCTATGCTCAGGATGTCCAAACAATCAGGTGAAATGTGTAGCTTACCTTACCAATTAACTTTAACTTAACACTATTGTGTTGTCTTATTAACATGGAGGATACATTATTTAAATTTTACACGATCACACGATCATTGTCATGAGCAACATTTTAATATTTCAGTGCTAACACTAATAACTCGGGATTGCTGACATGGTTTAAACAACACAAATTATTGACATTCGTGCTCGGTTATGTCGTATTGCTAGCTTCGGTTGGATTGACACAAAACAAACAAGTAGAAAAGTACTATAGGTCATTTATCCAAAAAGCAGGACTCGAATGAAAGGAAGACGAAGTGCGGGCACTTTATGTTGAGATGATAAGTCGAGATCTTGATATGACACAAAGGTTATACAAGCAATATATACACAAAATATTAGGATATGTGTGTCAAAGTCCACATGTATTGTAAAAAGCTATACATGTGCAGTTGTATCGGAAGAAAAAAATGTAGAAAAAGTATTTTCCAGTCTCTTGTAATAGATAAAATATGGCTTGGAAAAGTAGCTTTTCCCGAAATTTTTATTTTCGGTATTTATCGCCTTTTACATGTCAAATATTTGCTTATGATGTGCTTATTCCGTGTAAAGATTATTGTCTTTTATATGCATTTTTCGAATATATATATATATATATCAGGATAAATATATTTTATATGATAAAATATTACAAACTACATACACTTTTTTAGAAAAACATTTTTATTTCTACAGCGCTCTCAATATCGCGAAAGTATAATAGGGAAGTTTTCAGTGACCAAATAATCATCTTCAAATACAATGATAAGATTTACCTCAAATTCTGAAAAAGAGACCACGACATATGATATGTTACAAATATTTCTTAAATTTTTGTATATTTTTCTAAACTTCAGAAGGTAGGATAGCATGCCAGAGAACGTGCTTACCAACTTTGAAGTTACTTGTACTCAAAGTGGGACATGTAAATAATCTTGGAAATATCATGTAAATTGGAATAGCAAGATTTGTACAAGCATTGCCTTCACCAATCTGTATGTTCTGTATCTCGGTCGCTGCAAAAATACATTTTCAGATATTCTCACTGTATATCATCACTACAATATATTACTTTCCAGCCTTTTGCGGCCGAGAGCAGAATCATGGCTAATATAAAAGACGATTCTAAATACAATTGCAAAAAAAGTAAATTTGTTTTTCTATGGTCTTACCATCTCTAGAGTATCCCTCTGCACACCCACAAGTTTCTACCCTGACCAATTGCAGCTCTATGGACTTAATAACAGCCTCACAATGTTCAATTACTACCTTCAAGTACAGAAATAATAAGTGAAGGTACAGTACTGGAATAGTAATGCATGTAAAAAGTTACATACTTCCCCAGTCAAGGGCTCAGAGATTTTGCAATGCAGAGAATCTAATCGCCCTGAAATGCAAAATCTTGGCACATTAGTTCTGTCTCTAGCATTTTGCAGGGACTCTGGCATTATTTTGAAAAACACAAGTTTATTATGCTCTTTCTCCACTTTGTTACTTGGCTTATCTTCAACTATAAATTCCAGTGACTTGCTAACATCCTTTGCGAGGAAATTTCTTTTGATATCACAGCGTATCAAATACTGTATATTAACAAAAACACCATGATATGTTTCATAGAGAGATTTACTCCCTCTTGGCTTCAATGGTAATTCAAAGGGTATCTCGGTTTTGCCACTTGGAATCTTTCCCGATGGAGCAACGTCCAGTGTATATTGCACTAGCTGTATGGGCTAAAAACAATTAAAATTTGCCCGTGAAGAGTTCACATTTCGTTCCTCAAATTTAGGTTTAATATAAAAAATATTACAACACATACCACATGTGTAAACTATAATATATACATTAACTAACCTTAACAGAGTTATAAAATGCTTCAAAAATACCAACATTCTTTGAACTAAGTTGTAAATTGACGGAACCTTCCATGGTGAGAAATATCCCATCGTGTTTCACATCCGAATTGGTTTTTAGCAATATTAAACCAGCAACAACCTCCTACAACGACAATATAACCTCAATCTCAAATCCGCATTCTTCGCAAAAAAGAGAAAGAAAACCGTACACAACGGACAACTGACCCCTTCGTGATATATTTTGCTTGCGCGTTTTAATTTTATATCTATGTTGATAGACATTTTCTTCGGATTATGTTTCTTTCGACACTACTTGATGGTTGTCAAAAGTAATCGTATCTGTCAAATTGAGTCACACGTCGTCAATAATATCGTCAATATACTCGATGTACACGACATTTTCCGACTGACACCGCAATTTTTACTGTATTCGCGACCATAATTGAAGCTTATCAGTCAATCCTTGTTGCTGGGCTTTCGTAGGAACTTTAAAGTTTCGGAAAACAGCTGTTGATAGGTTGCGATCAGCTGTTGATGAAAGCTGCGTGCGACTAGTTTGTTTGCAGACAATCCAGATTGTCTCCCGAACAATTCGACACTAACCCCTCCACTTCCCACGAAAAAAAAATATCGAGAACACAAATAATGCGTGTTAACAATCAAGTAAATATTAGGAATCATACAAATACTCGTGCAATGGGATATTCAGTACAATGTCCGGTATACAAGCGGGACATTGTATTAAAGAGTTAGTACTCGTTACGTGTCTTTATTCGAGACACACATTGTCCCTGCGAGACTTTTAATATTTAAATGCAGCTCATTCTACAGCTGGCGACATTATCATGATCAATAGGGCAACACGACAAGAAATTCTTTTGAGAGAAGAAGGCTATATCGAGAAACGAGAAGTGGCGGGTAGCCGACGCGGAATCGTGGAAAACTGCACCCAGATATAATTTGCATCTCCTTTCGGCGTCACGTTTTCTTTCATTGCGTTTTTCACATTCGGTTCATGCGTGTCGTTCTCTTTCCTTCTTTAAAGGGTGCGCGTCTGAGGGATTTTTGAGAATGCCCATTATTGAATATCCTGAATTATCTCTCCGAGCTCCAGATCCCGGCCAATGCAAGATACTGGTGGAAACGTTAGAATTACGTGTCGTTATGTCCAACGGAACGACCAATCGGACGGCCATGTTCGCGCGGTATTTCCCCCTACGAGCAACGCGTGCGCCGACCTTCGCGTGCCCAGCCAAACAAATTCAAACCGTCGGAGTCGTTACTTCGAGAGGTGAATCCTGCTTGGCGTGACACCGAAAGTCCGTTTGAGGCTCGCTTCTCGAAGGGAGAGACGCAGATACGTGTTCAGCGTCGCAGAAATATCGTCTTCCTACTGCGTGCGATTAACGATGGCGACGAAAAGTCGGGCCACAGTAAAGGTGAGCCTATAATACGGTCTCTGGTAGAATTGTGCTTCCGCCTTGGCATCGATGTCGACCGGTCGTTGCTATCTGACATCTTTAAATACCCTTCGTATCCCCGAGAAAAGGCACTCGCCATGCTTTCATAGTTATTGTTAATCCCGCGGGACTCTCGATATTGTGCACGCCCGAGTTCCTGGATTTACACGCTGTGAGATACGAAGCTCACGATTTCGTCGTTTTCACCGAATCCCTCTCGGGCATCTTTTTCCCCTCCCGCCTAGGTATATTACGCCCTTAAACGTAACGTCAACGTAATCTTCTCGTGTGTTGAACGGAAATCGTTAGATTTGAAACTTACATGCTTTACTTATCTTTCTCCCGTCAATGCTTCCTGACTTGCAAATTGCAAAAAACGGTTGTGTAATGAGTTTGCATGTATCAGTTTATCAATAGAGATTTTCCTGTAACAAAGATAGAAAATTAATGTAAATCAAGTGTGAAATCAAGTCTTAATGTGGTTTCATTATCAAATATATGATCCATTTTTGCAAGGAATGTTGACGAAGTGTTATATATTTTAGATATGTCCGTACTTGATTATTCTAAAGTTTCTTTTGTGATGCAGATTGCTGTGAATCAAGAAAATGTCAAAAATATCAAGCCTTCGGTGACAATTTTGCCAGGGAAAACAAAAAGACCAGTATTACGTGAAATAAGTAATAAAGTCAATACTTTAAGAGGCATAGAGCCTGTAGATAGGACTAGTTTATTGCAAAAGGATAAGAAGGCGACAGTAGCTGTGCAAAAGCGGCAACCTATAAAACCAAAAGAGAAAATAACAGAGAAACCACCCGTCCAAGTTGTGAAGCCGGTTATCAAGAGTACAGTCCAACCGAACGAAACCAATGTACCCTCTGAAGATCCCACATCGATGAACATTTCTGATAAAAAAATAGAAACACCCAAAGCATTTTCATCTGATCTGATCTATGAGGATATTGATGAACAGGATGAGAAAAATCCCATCCTTGTCGCTCTTTATACCAATGAAATACATGAATATCTGAAAGAATTGGAAAGCAAATATCCTATTAAAAAAGGATTTTTAACAGGACAAGAAGTTACTGCTAAAATGAGGAGTGTACTGGTAGACTGGTTAGTTGAAGTACACCAACAATTTCGACTGATGCAAGAGACATTGTATCTCACGGTCGCAATTATCGATCGTTTCTTACAGGTAAAATGCCTACATAGGTTAAATGGTAATAAATTGACAAAACTGATAAGCTCATTAATCAACTGACTTGTTAATTTATTAACACCTGCGTGTGGCCTTGTCTTCATCTTTTTTCACAGAGTTACCGAACGATAGACAGGAAAAGATTGCAGCTAGTAGGTGTGACAGCAATGTTTATCGCTAGTAAATACGAAGAGATGTACTCTCCGGATATAAGCGACTTCGTATATATAACGGATCAGGCGTATACGAAGTCCGATATATTACAGATGGAGATGGTCATCGTGAAAACTCTGAATTTCTCGTTCGGCCGACCACTGCCGTTGCATTTCCTCCGAAGATATAGCAAAGCCGGAAAAGTATGTACAATCTGCACAAATTTTACGCTCCGTTCGCTCGAATTGAATATCATCTTGGTGAATATCATCGTGTATTTATATTGGGCTATTAGTTTTCAATTAACTTCTGAACGATCTTTCAAAGGCACTTCCTGTGCATCACACAATGGCCAAATATTTCCTGGAGCAAAGCATGGTTCACTATGATATGTGCCATTATCAACCTAGTCTCATCGCTGCAGCAGCAATATATTTAGCGTTTCTGTAAGTAAGATGAAAGACGGAATTATCTTATTATAGTACGTGTCGCGAGCTAATGATTAAAGATGAAAAACAGCAAATAATAAGGGCCATTTCTCGTAGAATCATCGGCAATGATGAGGAGGATGAAGGTAAAGTTATCTGGACAAATACTTTAGTGCACTATACCACGTATTCTAAGGACGAAGTGTTACCTGTCGTACGTGATATAGCTGTTATCATAACTAACGCAGAAAAAAGCAAACATCAAGCTGTAAGGAAGAAGTACGTCCACTCGAAATACATGGAGATCAGCGTTCGGCCAGAACTCAAATCACCAACTCTTTTGGCCGTCGCACAAGCGAGCAAGGAGACATAATGCTATCGTATAACGTTCGTTTGTGACATTAAAATACATATATTTTTTTTCTCAATAAGGTATTTGTCTGTTGAATGTCATAAAAATCAATGAATCCAACTATGAATGTTGGTATAATACACGAGGATTGCACCTTGCGAAAGTTCAGATAAAGTAAACTTTATCACAAAGTGATGAATGTCGTGTCGATTAGACATTTAATTACGAATTACTTATTGAAGAGCACCTCCATTGCGAACTAGAGACGAGTTTAGAGACGTATTTAGAGAGTATACACAGAGGTTTGTTAGTGTAAACATTAAAAAATTTAGTCAGGTAATACTGATGGACTTTATTTTGGACTGCCGTAGTGGAACTAGGTATAGCAGAAACCACAAAATGTATTTTATAGAATATTGAATAACTTTTAGTTTTTATTCCTAGCTGATTATAAAAATATTTTGATTTTGATACGAGTCCTACAACGATGCTTTTGATGTTGCCATATGAAAATATGAGAGTATTCCAGACGTATACTTCACTTTTTGTGCTTTTATATATATATATATCATATTTTCTCAAATATAGTCCATCTTTAATCGGCATGAGAATTCATTGTTACTTTCGTCTGCACTTGTAGTTGTGAAATGCAAATTGTAAAAAAAGTGTATAAAAACGCAAAAATAAATGCTAAGGATATTTTGGAGCTATCTATATCGTTCACGAAATTTTTATCAGTATATTGATAAAAAAGAACTCTAATCTTACTATTGATATTTATATATACGTCGCATTACTATTTCTTACAATGTGTACATAAGAGATTTACTAGATAAACTTTCGCTAAAGTATTCGGTCAAATCTGAATTTATACGAAAGAAATTAGAAATAAGAAATCCTAATATAAAAAAGACCCAAATTCGATTTTATTATACGTTTAATCCTAAATTCAAATATATATATATATACACGATTATATCTCGGAGTGAAGTATAAGTGGCTGTTATGTATACTTAGGTCTTGTTAACCGTAAATTTAATATGTAATATGATACAAATATAATGATGTAGATTAAATTACTAACTATACACCTTTGTAAATAAAAAGTGAAATCACAACTGCTACTTTAGTGTCTTAATCTCAACCATTTATTAACGACAAAAGTAATGACTTTTTCGCAAAATACAATATCATTTATAAAATATTTCACGTGATCTTCGGTAGAAGACGGTAGAAAGTTTCTTTAAAAAATATCCAACATGCACGACGTGAAATTACTTTCTGGTGGTGGATGCGTTATATACGTATCTAGAAAATGAAACTCGCATTAAATAATCTAGGAATATCGATCGAATGTTGGGGGACGGTATTTATAGTCTGATCTTACATCTTAGATTGTCTTAAATTTATCTCGAGATTGCCGTAAGGATCGCTTTTTTAACGGCTGCATAGAATATTAAGATGAATATGAGACAATTTTGAATATAAGATTAGATTATGAATAGTGCCAGTTTCTATCCCACGTCGATCAAATCTTAACCAGAACCACCTTTGCCTGAATTTGGTCTAAAGAGAATTTCTCATGTTACAGTTTAATCGACATTGAGAGAGAAACAAGAATGATGCTGACTGCGCGTAAGGACTCACCTACTAATTTAAGATATGCAGTCACTTCTTGAAGTTGCGCCGGTGCGTAAGTTGCCATTCTTTCCTGCAAGAGAATTACAAAATATAAATAAATAAATACGCACAAAAGTCACTTGATTTTCCAAAAGAAGGATCTCTGCTTGCAGATCTCCCAATTGCTAAGTTGCTTGGATTTTGCCGAAGACGACGAGGACTCACCATCTCGCTTAAGCTCGTGGGCGCCGACCTGTCCCATATCTCGGCTTTGCTGGTCTCCAACAATTTGAAGAATTGCTGCATCTTATCCTGCAGCTCCGCCGCATAGTCATCGAGTCCAAAGTGAACCAACGCTTTCACGTGCTCCGACATCTCATCTGTCAGTGAAAGGTACATCACGAATGCGTCTAATTTGTCTAACATAACGCAACGTTACCAAACGAACCTCTGCGTTTGCACGTGTTGCTGATGATTTCATAAAGCGCGTGAATCAAGCCCAGATCCTCAAACATACTGCCTTTTTTCAAGCTGAAGAGCTTCCTTTCTTGCTTCCTGCGGTTTTTACTGGATCGGTAGCTCCTCCTGATGAGAGATGGGTGCGATTAAAGTTACGTCTCGCTCGGTGGAATCTTGGCATATACACGAAAGAGAAGCGAATTCCATACTCACCCGGATGCCGTAGACATCCGCGACCTTTGACTAGCGGCGGAGCCCGCAACGCTGCTCGCGTCGCTGAGGAAGTCCGTGACTTCTCTGATGGGCGTCGGCTCATCGTGACACATGAGTTCGTTAGTCGCGGACGTTTGTCTCGCACTCATCTCGGCTCTCACTGTGGAGAGTCGCGACTTGTACCTGACGAAATTTTCTGTGGCTTTATGCAGTTGTGTCATCGTGTGCTCTGCGTGCTCTTTCACTTCCGGCAAGATGTGTGTGTCTGTAAGAACAAGATGAGCTTTAAGCACATCTGGATTTATTTCCAGTTCTTGAAAATATGGCATTTTCAAGCAGCTAAGCGAAACGGGTGTTAATCGATACCGACGATTAAGAAAGCCCCCTTAGCAACCACTGACCATTCAGATCTAGACGTCGAACGTCATGCGCTATCCTTATCGCGTGTTTCCAGCACCTTCCTTCGCATAACAACGCGACAGCTTCCTCGGCATCGTTTAAATAATACCTTAACACCTCCGCTGCTTCTTGATACTTTCGGTCCGCTTTCAGACGCTCCACTATCTCTCTGTAGAGCTCGTGCGAATCTGCAGGACTGAAGGAGTCGCTCTTAATCGTTATATCCTGTCGATCTTAATTTTCTTGCATATACGAATAGGAGATAAAGATATCTTTACCTTAAGTTCAGTTTTGTCGACATTATGATGCAGTCTTGCCAATTGCCAGCCGACTTGTGCGCGTCCAAGGCTTTCTGAAAGTCTTCGCTTCTGCAAAACATAATGGCGGCTTCCGAGTACATCTTCTTGCTCAGTAAATGCTCCCCGAAAACCTCAGCAATCTTCTTGTACTCCGCGCTACCCTGCTCGAACAGTTGGATCGCCTTTGCGTGCAACTTGTGATCACGTATCAGACTCAAGCATTCCTCAAATTTGCCCGGCACTTTGGACAAGTGTACGAGCGCGGAGTCGTAGAGGTGAAGATGCATGTCGATTGAATACTTCATGAAGTTCTCCTCCAGCTTGCTCAACGCCCTCAAGAACGGGATATATTCCTTGGGATCCATCTGCGACTTGGACGCTATGAACATCGCCAGCTCGCACTCATACATGCCTAACGCGGTGTCGTACATAACGCGCATGTTCGTCGCAAACTGCAGGCACGCGAATGCACTTTCGATCATGACCGAGTCCTCTGTTGCTATGACCTCTTTGAGCTTCCCGAGAGCCAGTTGCAGTCCTACACCTTGCTTATTCTTCATCAGACTCAGCAAAATCGGTTGTATCAGGTCACTCGCGTCATCTCGTTTCTCCATGACGTCTCTTAATCTTCTACAGATTTTGTCTACTTTGGTCTCGACGCTTGGCTCGTTGCTTCTCGACATCGCGTTCGACCGCATGATGCGATCTTGGTAACAACTCGCATACAATGTAACGCTGACGTCCTCGTCCTGTAACTCCGACAAGAAGCGGCACAACCAACTTGATTGCCCGTTGTCTTCCACGAATTTCTCCGCGTTGTTCATAAATAACTGCGGATTATAATCGTATATTAAATTCGGGTTTATGTGATGCTTCTTCACGAAGTCGATCGCTGTTCGATAATCGCAGTCGTCAAGGTGAAAGCCTAATATGCGCAGTAACAATGGTCTCGGATTTATGCACTCCAGATTACCCCGGGGCATCTGTAAAATCGTCTTTGAGTCTCGCGATACTGCTGTAATTATTTCTGAACCGCTTTCGACCCGTCCGATATTGATATCTGCAATGATAGATCGCAAAGTCGCAGCGTTAGAAAATCAAACTTTGAGAAACATTAGAAACACACTAGAGAATCGAAATTAGAAAATTTCATAAAAGCCGTAAAATAGCGGGAAGAGATTGTGGAAAATATTCACCTGCAAACGACGGCATATCGGTGTGTTTCCAAGGCTTGATGGTTAAATCGAACTTTCTCAGTTGCTTCATACCTCTTTCGTTCAACGGGATACAAATTAACGTGTTCTGCAGCGTTGTGAGAAGCAAGAATTCAGAATGTACGTAGAAACTTATAATGTTATTGCAAACTTCGTTACCATCGATCAGAAAGCGATAAAAATGAGACAGGCCGATAATAAAGTGTTTGGAGCCAATTTTTATGGCTTCCACATGGCAACATGGCACTGTCCATTTTATATTCGTTGGAACCAGCCCTATACCTATGGTGTATATCAACACAGACTTATTTGTTATCACATAAGCTGCACTTGCGTCAGGAGAAGGGATGATATGCTCTATCGGATCATCCACTATGTAAGTGCTTCTGCAAAAATATATCCGAATCTAACTCTTAATCGAATGTGGCTATATATACGATTTTATGACGATCTTGGATGATTAAATTACATACTGTACTGTTATATGCTCTTCCTCGGAATTCATATCAGCCAGAGACAAAATGCACAAGAAAGTACCTTTTGAGCATAGCATAATATCCTCAGAGTGCCACAAGAAGTGATGCATGGTGTAAACACTACAGGTGTCAATTTTCTTCAACATATCATTGTCAGAATCTTGTGCGTCTCGGAGATTGTATGTTTTGAAAACTTTGTACGTTGCGGGTGAATCCTACAAGTACAAATAATTCACATTTTACGTGTGTATGTCTCATGCGTAATTTTGCATAAGTGTACATTATAGCCTCATCATTTCGCTTACCGCGTCTTGCCTGAAAAATGTTAAATTATCATTACAAGAGACAGTGCAAAATATATTGCTGTTTATCCAAGATTTCTTGTCCGTGACATCTGGTGCAAAAATAATCGCGTTCACTGCTTCTTTGACTTGCAAATATTGATGTGCCATTGGTGGTGGTATAACTTTTTCTTTGAAACTTGTTATTAATATTTTCTTCCCATCAATGACACCGACCACAGCTTTGTCATCCACAGTTTTGCCTCTACTGTGATTTACATACCAATTGAAAGAGTAAGATATAATTTCTTTCCTTGTTACAAGAATCAAGTCTGTAACACTATATCTCCTTGTGAGGCTCCATGTTGCAAATATCAATGGATTATCAACAGAAAAAATGATAGTCTGTTTGAGATACCAATGATAATTATTTTCAGTCCACAATTGTAAAATGGTATTTTTTGTGTCTGATTCTTCACAGGTGACAGCCAACACCTGTGAATCTGGTGACCAAAATAAATCTTTCACCTAAAAGTAAAATGTTTATGTAATGACATTTGTGGCAAGAGATAGTAAGGAAAATTATTAGAAAAAAAAAGTTATTTTTATATTCATATTTAGTATACCGTTACTTCCTTTGTTTCAAAAGGAAGAGAAAACTCTCTATGTTTAAGACCATTTTTCTCAAAAAGTGCTATAATAAGTTTGTTATTCAGTCTCTGAGATACAGCAATCAGGCTTCCCGATGGTTTCCATGCCAAACATTCTTCCAATCCATTGGTTGGTTCACTAGTATATTGCAAGGTACCTTCTCTGTCAAATATTTTAAACTGCCGAATTTTAGTTGCAGCATGTAGAAAACTGACAGCAAATAAAGCACCATCCCCTCGCCAAGAAATTTTGGGAATACCATCATCCGATTCATTTGCACATATTTGTTCTGGTTTGGCTTTAGCTGCTGCTTTACCTTCTGAACCATGAAACTGAGTATCCTTTTTGCCCCAACCAACAGTTATGAATTGTTTCTTTCCAAAATCTGACGAATGTAAATCCACCTATAATATTAAATTTCATATATTACATATATACATATATTGAAAAAATTATATATCGATTACTACAGAATGTATTATTTCAGAAACATAAAGAATTAGCAATTAGTTAAACTTTTACCTGTGATATTACGAGGAAATGATTTGATATTATCGTAATTAGAATTCCATTGCCTGTCACCACTGTCATGATCTCATGATCTGGACTAAGTGCCATACACTTTAGGCCATTATAAGACGCTACTATTTCATAATCAAAATATTCCGGATATTTACTTGTTACATCTAATTTAGCGATATCACCATTGTCATATGCACAATATAACTGCTGCCTTGCAGCGGAATATTCGAATCCAACAACCTTCGAGTCTTTGTATGTGACATCGTGAACGTTAATATCATGTTTGTCATAAACTGGTACAATGAAGAGGCGAGTACCCAACAGAATATATAAATCCTCATTAACTGGATTTACAGTGCATTTCCAAGAACATACGTTCGAAAATTCACAGCTGCCTTGCTCAATATCTTCTAAAACCGTCAAACTTTTGCGGTATTGTCGATAAACGACCAAATTCTTCATGTTTCTATCGATGTATCACTATGTGTCGTAAATGGCTGTATTCAGCAGAACAAAATTGGTTTTGGTTCTGGTTCAATAAATGGTTCTGTTACGCTCTATCCCCTACGCCAGTCAATGATTATGAAGGTAAAAGAAAAACAGGGATAACGCGTACGCAGTCCCCACGATAAAAAATTCATTCATTCAATAAATGATTGTGCGCTGGAAAACCCCAGGCTGACGCCAACCCCTACGATCAAAAATATGCGCAATTATAGAAACCACATCTGACCGTCACGGCAGCGAACAAAACACTAGTAGGTTGGTTGGTTGGTTGGTTCTATTTCTGGCTCCGGAATGTATTGAAACAGTGTCCACACGCCATTTTCTAAAACACTAGTAGAACAGTGATCAGTGAGCGCTTAAGCCCGTGTCACACTACGGATTGAAGATCAAGGATTGCGGATTGAAGATTGAAATTTGACCAATCGGAATAAAGCAAGTCCAAACCGAAGTTCGTTGATTTGTCGAAATCTAATCTTCAATCCGCAACCCTTGATCTTCAGTTCGTAGTGTCACACGAGCTTTAGGCCCAGTTGCACCAACATTATTTTGGTTTTAAGTGAGACTTAAATATATCTCTGTCTTTATTTATTTATGTCCAGTTGCTTAAACGGAGTTGGTTAAACGGAGTTTAAAGCAAGTTGTGGAACTGGGCCTCAGTAAGAAAGATAAAGGTAGACTTATGTTTAAGTCTCACTTAAAACCAAAATAACGTTGGTGCAACTGGGCCTTAGCGAATGGCCGCGTTCAGTAGAACAAAGTGATCAGAGAGCGCTTAATGATTATTGTCTGTGATTGGAGCATTCTTTTAGATTTTTCATAGACCCAGAAGTATTTACCAATCAGAAGCGAGATTCAATGGAAAATCTAGTAATGTTGTCCAACTGTTGAGTCTGCTGAATGCAGCCATTGTTAATTCTTTTTTGTTTTGCACATGTTAACATGTTAATTCATGTTTTAAACGTATAACAATGTGCGAGACCGTGGTTGTCAAGTACGCTATTATGGTTGTAGCACGGACATAAACCGCCTAAAAATGGATGTAGCACGAACTACATGCAGGTTTTACCGCCGAAACCTGAAAGTGGATGTACCGTCGTAGTTCTCCTCTCAAAGTGGATGCAGATGGCGTCCTTTCCCAGTGCGGAAAGTCGGTGTCGCCGAAAACGCCGTGTGTTGGCCGCTCTCACGTTCCTCTCAGCTGTCAACATTTACCGAAAATTGCCACGTCGATGTTGATGCTTTCCGATATCTTTTTCCACATTTGTTGCACCATTTATGCTTATTTCAAGCTACAGCTTCATATTCCAGCCGCGATATTTCTAAGAGGACGTTAGCGCTCAGCGAGACGAGATTTCTCTGATACTGAAAATCCCGTAAGACCAACAGTCTTCATTAATGTCTTGTCGGTGGTTAGCTGAATTCACAGAGAATTCCATCTGTAATTCGCAATGCTGAATATTCGAACTACTCAACAAACTCATATAGATCTTCTCCAGTTTCATCACATTTTCACGTCAGTCGTATGTTACTCATGCCGTCCGAGTGATCCACGATAATAACAGCACGAAAGCCACGAAAAATCGTGGCTCGAATTCGTTCGGGCCGCCAACCTACCGACGGACAAACAGACGGACAGACATCAGCGCCACCATCAGTATGACAAGATGAATCGCGGAAAGCAGTGGTTGTGAGTGCCACCGAAGGAGTGAGCAGCCGAGCCGAGCCGAGCATCCGTCTGCGTGACACATATCGCACCCGGGTGGAAATTAAATTAGGGTTTCGAGCGAGTATCTCGCGTCCGCCACGCATTCGTAGATCTCATCGGTCGCTTCATCCGAGGTTCGGCTGCGGGGCCGACGACGACGACGGTGGCGGTGGAGGTGGTGTTGGTGCTGGTGGTGGTGCTGCTGCTGCTGCTACTACTGGTGGTGGTGGTGACGGCGGTGGCGACTGGGAGAGCGCGCGACGGTAGCGTTACCGTTTGGAAAACCGACGACGGCTCGAGGCTTCTAGAAGAACGCGGGGCGCCGTAGAGGCGGCCGTACAACTGCTGGACGACTCTCGTGTTGTCGGGGCTGTTGCAGGACGACGCGGTTGTACTGCATTTGCGGAGAGAAATCGTACGTACCTCGGCGTGCAGAGGAAGGAGGAGTAGGAGGAGAAAGAGAAGGAGACGCATTAGTTAGCCGCGCGGTGCTCGCGCGTTATATATCGGGCGCCGCCAGTCCCGCTACAACTCGAAGAGGGAGAAAGAGAGAGAGAAGAAACGAGGCGAAAGAAAATGAAAGAGTGAGAAGAGAGAGAGAGAGAGAAGTTAGAGAGAAAGACGGCGACTGGAAGTCGCCGATCATTGCGTACTTCTTTCCATTATTTATGCGAATATCAGACGTTCCGCCATCGGAAAACACCGCGGAAGCGACCCGTGACGACCTCGCGGCGTGTCGTGCTCGCCCGCGACTCGCAGCGAGCGTACGATTTCGACGGGGAAGAGAGATTCTTTTCTCTCTCTCTCTTTCTCTTTCTCTCTTTCTCTCGATGCATCGTCCCGACACTTGGCAACGCGCATCGTGGGTCCGCACACGACACACGCATGCTCACCTATCTCTGTCTGTTCACTTTGCCTACCTACGCGCACGAGACTATACACCATTGGCACACACATACACATATGTACATAGAGCATGTACGGAGATATACGTCATGTGTATGCGTGCAATAGTACACTGTCTTTCTCTCTCTCTCTCTCTTTCTTTCTCTCTCTCTCTCTCTCTCTCTCTCATTCTCGCTCTCTTTTCCTCGCTCTCTGCCACACTCGGTGCGGCGAGTTGTCAACGCTGTCAATTCATGGCCGATCACCTCGTTCATCGGTCGACGACGGGTGCATCGTGCCACAAGAAAAAGAAGATTATTGATCATCGTCTGGACGTTCGGTCACACGGCAGGACATACATTTGAGCACGGGTCATAATCGCGACGCGAGATAGTCGATGCGTTTTGTTTCGCGCGGAGGGATCAGGGTGGGAGCGGGAGCTTCTGCCGATGGTATGCGGGATGCTAACGATGTTGCCGCGAAATGATTCTCTCGTTAGCGCCTCGGTTCCCGTCCGCGACTTTAGCGTAAGATACGGCACGAACGATCGCTTCTGTTGGTTTTGAGACTGAGGTGCTTGGATTGGACTCCGACGATACGCGCAACGGTATTCTTCATCGTTACATTGGCTTCTGTGATTGCAATTTTGCTTCGTAAATCTTGTCGGGTCTCTTGCTGAAACTGTCGCTTTAATTTCAAGCGATTTCTGATAATAAAGATCAAAATGGAGGGGACTCGGAGGATTTCAATATTCTCGCGATGATTCTTAAAATTCAGTTCAATTGGAAGACTAAAAAATATCTCAAGAAGTGGAACTTGATGTGTGGGTGGAGGAAAATGACAAGTAGTTGTCCTTTGTTGTTAATTTCTCTGACATCTTTCTTTGTTCTGAGAAGCCTTCATCAAAGTGTCTTGTATGCTTCATGTGCGCAAAGCTAATCTTTCGCCTCATGCCTTTTTTTACAGAAATTGCATAAACAATGGCAGCGTTACCTAGAAGAATTATTAAGGAAACTCAAAGATTAATGCAAGAACCAGTTCCTGGTATCAGTGCTGTACCGGACGATACAAATGCTAGGTATTTTCATGTAATAGTAACGGGACCTGAAGACTCACCGTTCGAAGGTGGACTGTTTAAGTTGGAGTTGTTCCTACCAGAAGATTATCCGATGTCTGCTCCTAAAGTTAGATTCATTACAAAAATATATCACCCAAATATAGACAGGTAAAGTGACAAAAACTGCATTGTGTCCGCTCTAATCGTGCAACATGTGTTTTAGTTTTGTCGAGTAACCTTTAATATTCTCCTATATGTTACTCAGTCATAAAACTGTGTACGTTATATGGAACCTCTGATTGTCTCTCTTCTAACAAATCAATCATTAATTAGACTATAGATAACTATGAAAAAGTTACTCATGTACACACATTCACACAGAATATACAAATCAATTAATATAGAAGCAAGGAAGATAATCAATTGTCTTCATTTATATACTATCTGTGGTATAAATAATTCGAAATTGACTTCGAACTTATCTGCAGATTGGGCAGGATCTGCCTGGATATTCTCAAAGATAAATGGAGTCCAGCTCTTCAAATCAGAACAGTGTTGCTATCTATACAAGCGCTCCTGAGTGCACCGAATCCCGATGATCCTTTGGCGAACGATGTAGCTGAACTTTGGAAGGTCAATGAAAGCGAAGCGATACGTAATGCCAAAGAATGGACTCGGAGATACGCTATGGACAACTGATCTCAGCCTTTACAGATCGCCTGCGACGCGAAGCGCCGTTATTCCTACCTGTCCCAGACTTCTAATCACCTTACCCGCACCAACTGCGTATCCCGCACCTGTGTCCACAATTTTGCTATAAAAATAAAAGTTTTGTAAGAGTAAAACAGAATGGATATTTTCTATATCGTGGGGAGTACACAAAGCACCGTTGGATTTTATTCAACCGCTCCTTCAGAGAGAAATGTTGGAGAATGTTGGTGAAAGGACGCGATATATACATATATACATACATATATATATATGTATCGATAAATTATGTTACAATTTAGTTCCAAGTTTACATTAAGTGAAGGTATTATGTGACGTACGATTCTTTGAACGTATTTTGCTGCGAAATCTTTCGTGCAATTTATAATTTATACTTTTCTATTTCTATAGTGTATTGTGTCTTTAGTAGTGAAATCAAATAACTTACGTTCTGAGATATGAAATTCTTTTCCTTCATGAGAGAATTTTATTTTATATATATATATATATATACATACCAACTGGTTGTCGTCTGTCCGATACATCATAGACTTAAGTATTCTTGCATACTTTAGAATAGAGAATGGAATATAAGAGCGATCGTTATAACAAATTACATCGGTAATAACTGTTATTTATCACAGATGTCTTATAGGTAATATATTAAAAGAGAAAGAAGTTATATATATGGAAAGAACATTTTCGCAGTCTGTGTGATCTTCTAACGTCTGTTAAAAACGACTGTTTTTTCGTGATGTGTAGGATATTATGTGAAAGTTTGATTTTTAACGTGTAACGCATAATAAGAAGCATTCGAATAATTGATTTTGCTCACACGAGATGGATTGTAAGTGAATACGAATCTTCCATTATTATGTTAATGATAATTGCCAAACGATTACTTAATGTGTAAATACAAATAAGAGAGAAAACGAAAATAGAACGATACTTCATTGCGTCTCGCAATAAGTAAGTTCTATTAAGGGAGAAGATACGTGTAATAAATTTCCGTGTAAGAAAAGCCGAACCCGATATACGTATACGTATATATAAAATTATGGTTTTACGAAAATTATTTATATACACAGAGCACCATGTGTGTGTGTGTGTGTGAGATATGTAGCAATTTGCGTATGTGCATAAATATTTTCCATGTGATCAAAAGAACGGTCACAATACAAGAAAATTGAGCGGATGAAGGGAAACTAAATTTACAGATATCGTACATTGTATAATTAAATAGGAAGATGATGAGACGAGGTTTCAACGACGAACAACGGGAAGTATATATATCGATGATAGAAATATCTGATATATTCTAATCACGGGAATGTCGGCTTGATGAATTATATGAAAATGAATTATATGAAAATAATAATATCAATGCAACAAAGATAACGAGAGAGAGAGAGAGAGAGAGAGAGAGAGAGAGAGAAAGGGAGAGGGAGACATACAACCAGTTAGTATATAAAACAGCGAAAATGTTACGCGAGTCACCTTTGAATATAATTATTACGACAGTTCGAGAGGTTCTGTAATTCAAGGACACTGGGATCGGTTAAAACAATTGTAGATAATCTGCAATAATAAAGATATTATTATTAAGAATTCGGCACATACGGAGTGATCATTCCACTGTACATACGCATACGCGTTATTACATCGCATTGATACACGAAACAAGAAGAAAATTGCCCGAGAGCTATTGCGAAGTGATCAATGCTTCGTGAACTCTGCTCCGATAATGGATAAGATCCTGACGAAGTTTAATGCCACGCTGATGTTTCAGATATTATTAATTAACTGCACATTACTTTGCTCTCTTTTTCTTTGTGTTCACCTTGATCGTCACGCTCCATATAAAAAGAAGATCTTAACATACACGATATATACAATTATATCGATTGAAAATAAATAAAATTTTAACGTTACCGAGACCGCGAGAGCGAATAATGTGTAACGACAAAGCGCTAATGAGCGAAATAATCCATATCGATTTTAGTTACGCGAGGCGTATGCGCAGATTTCAATGACACATTATCACATTTCCGTTCTATTATCTTTCAAAGAGAAAAAGAAAAAATGCACTGTGATATACTTATTAACATTGATTCAGCGCTAAAAAGAACGAAATAGCTTATTGAGAACTTTTCCAAGAAAAACCTGTCGAGGAGGGGAGAGGTGCTTTTATTTTTATTTCGCGTTATTAATAGTCCGGATAATTTTAGTTCGCTTTTATCGGAGCCATGTCGTGATGTCACATCTCACTTCACCTCGCATATCATGCGACACATTTTAAAAGAATGAAGCTTTATGAAAAAAAAAAAGAAAGAGCTATACCCGATAACGAACGTGATCGCGTTGCGCGCGTTCTCCGGAAGAGCGGAAGGGGATAAAAACTACTGATTGAATTCAAAATTACATTTTATTGTATCTTAGTATGGACTAGCATATATACCATATACACATTCAATAGCTCATTTATAATTTATAACTTATTATACACTCACAAACATTGATAAAGACAGTCATGATATCTCGTAGCATGTCTCATGATTGATGAAGCTACAGCGCAAGCTCTATATATATATATATATATACATACACACATATATATATATACGTATATATATGTATATGTGTATATATATATATATGTATATGTGTGTGTGTGTGTGTCTGTAAGATATAATTATTTTTATTTTTTCTTTATGAATGTGAGGTGTTTGTGTGTAAGTATGTGTGTGCGTATGTGTTGTATGTGTAAATGTCCGTATGGCTGGGTGTCGATTATTTCATAACGATTCTGACTGCAATTTGGAGTCATTCATGCTGACTTTGCACGATCATTCCACGATCATATTTTCGTAAGGTTTATAACAGCGACAAATGTATGTGTGTGTGTGTGTATGTATACATATATAGATACATACATACACACGCATATATATACATACATCCCGTTATTAACCAAATATATTCTACAAATCAGCTATAATCCGTATTGCCGTAATAACTTTGTCAAAAGACGAGCGCGACACAAGTGTTTTGCGACGTTCCGAAATAATTCGACGACGAAACTAAGCCGGTTTAATAACCGCGTGCTCGTTCGGATTTCAATGAAACGGGATCTCCCACTTGCTTCTCGTCGCGCAACAGTTCGCATAATTTATCCGTAATAATCGTAGAAAAACTAGAAAAGACAGTTCTACAGCGAAAAGATTTGCACGGAAAAGAGAATATCGATGGAATATCAGAACAGACAATTCGAAACGAATCTAATGTGCATTTATTAATTAATATACTCGTATTTATCTCGATAAGCCACGCTTCAACGATCGCGCGCTCACATCATCTCCCTTCAAATTATTCGAAATGAGAAGTCTGTTTGGAGTCTTACGGAACAATGAATGAGACGTTCTGCGTAACAACGGGGACTTAACAATGTTATTACACGTAGCTTTGAACGAACACATAAATAATGACCACGCAAGGCCAGATTGACAGTACAAGTTGCAGATGTTATTGTTTAAAATGTGGCTAGACACATTCAGTCAGGGTGGCTTGCGATGGCTGAGAGAGTATCAACTTATTTATTTATATATATATATATATATATAAATATACATACATACATATATTTATATATATATACTTTTTATTTATATTTATATATTTATATTTATATTTATATATTCATCTTATTATTCTTAGCGTAATGACTAGATAAGTTTCAGCCACCCAATATATAACATCTTGTTTGATCCCATATATTATATTCATACCGCTCTGTTGCTCGTCAAATATATGGTTAAAATTTTTATGCCAAAATTCACTGTCGGTTAGGTTACATTAGGATTTTCTTGGAGAGGGGGTGCAGAGGAGGGCCGGGGCTCCTCCCCCGCTCATATGTACTGTGTCCAGTGATGGCAATTCAGTGATGGGCTTGCCATAGAATTTCCCTCACCACGCACGCACACAGCCGACTCGATCTATCCGTGTGACAGTTGCCGAACGCGTGGCTCACACGGATAGACCGAGCCGGCTGTGTATGCGTGCGTGGTGGGGGAAATTCTATGGCAAGCCCGTCACCAAATTCCCATCACTGTGTCCAAGTGCGAGCTTACATCTACAAAGTCTAGGATCTTTTAGATACACAGCCATTTCTCAACATTTACCAACGCGTGATCGAGAAAGCGAATGACCGACGTAAACTTATCGAGAACAAAACTATCATGAGCTCATGGCCGATTACCATTCGCGACGAGCGAGAGAGAGGGAGAGGGAGAGGGAGAGGGAGAGGGAGAGAAGGAGAGGGAGAGAGGGAGAGAGAGAGAGAAAGAGAGAGAGAGAGAGAGAGAGAGGTGAGTCGTATCTAGTCCGAAAGTGAGAAACACATTCATCGAAGAATTGTCTCCGACTTTTGACTCGGACAAAGCTCATGCCTTTCTTACTCCGCCGTCTCGCCGTCTCGCGAAAGGTAGCCGCTTCATAAGCGTGTGTCGCGCAAGGGCTCTGAAGCGTCGCTTTGAAAAATATCATAGCAGTGAGTGCGCTACGTCACAGCTTTTGTTTTCGTCATACAGTGCCGAGTATTAATATCATAGAACAGCCTCTCTCGATTAAGCGATATGTAGGCGTACAAGATCTACTTAGTGACATTTCCGTTTCGACAGCACGCGGAGTTATCCATAGAAGTCTCATCTTAAATATAATACATGTACATATACATACATATTATATATACATATATATGTACATATGTATGTATGTATGTATATAATATTGCGAAACGAATTTATATTTATCTATACTCGTTTAAAAAAAAATCTTTCTTCTCTCCCTCTCTCTGTCTTTCCTTTCCGTGAACATTGTGTTGCTTGCGCGCTCTTCTATATAATTACTACGGCGTTTATCACGAGATTTACGCGCTCCGGAGATCTACGGTGTATGTAGATAGTAATTTTTAGTACAAATTAATAAACTCACCGGCATCGCGCGCCGCGAGTATTCGTCGGCCTTAAAAGATAAAAAAGATTAAATAAACGCCTTTAGCTTAAAGTATCCCCACGATAGAAGAAGAGATCCTTTCCTTCTTGGTTTTTCTTCTTCTTTTATAAATATTACTACGTCATTAACTATGTAATATACAGTTCTAGCCCCCTGCTCCAGCCGTTGGTAAAGAGCTTTTTTGTGCTATTTATAATCATGTGCAACTGCATCACCTGCATCGCCTATCATCTTCCTTGGCGCGAATGTAATGTGATTCTCTGTAACATCCGGTTACTGTGTGCACTCACGAGCGAGTATCTTCCTTTCACTCGATCGGGACACGCTACGCGAACGGGTCCGCAAGGCGAGGATAACTCGTGGCGGTTAACAACAGTCGCGGTGATGTCGTATGATTTCGCAACAGACACGGATGAGATCAAACGCCGACGTCGCGTGCGTGCGGGATATATTTAAGGGAAAAGGGAAAGAAAGGCGCTTACTAAATTTGGAAAATTTATGTCCGTGTTATAGAGAATCTCATTAGTTTTGGTACTATATATATATATATATATATATATATATATGTATGTATATATATGTATGTATATATATGTATGTATATGTGTGTGTGTATATATATATATACACACACGCACACATACGTATATCTCTTACAATATAATCAATAATTATATAAATTATGCTTGAGTAAATATTTAGTAAGGTTTCTGCGACGTACCTATCTTTTTACGTAGTCTCGTTTACTAAGCAGGAGCTGGTGAACGTACGAATTGTCTTCCATAAGAATCGAAACACAAAGCGACTTTGCATCGAATAACCTGTACAGTAAAGATAGCGGATAGTATGGTAGTGGATGGCGGATGTATTGTCTGTTCACTACGCATCAGCCAGGCAACTGAACGCTTTTATATGTACACCGGAGACTCCTGACCGGTTAACAGCCTAAACATCGACGTGGGCATCGTTTTCATCAAAATCTAAAAAACAAGCAATCACACCACACCGTGTATGTACACATGTATAGGTCGTATATAAGAAACAAAATTCTGCTTCTCTCGTGAAGCCGAGCGGAGGATCGCGAGAGTGACGATGACGAGATGATGAACGAGAGAAGAGAAAAGGAAGAAAAAACGAGAAAGAAGGGTAAGAACGGAAAAGAAAAGAAGAGCGTCTACGTACCTCTCCCACCGACGTGGCCAGAAGATTAACAATCTTTTCGTGCGGTACAGCAACAACACTCTGATTATTGATTTCAATTATCCTATGTCCCACCCGCACGCCGCCCCGTTCGGCGATACCGCCTCTCAATAGACTACATATCACTCCGTTCTGTACACTAAATCCTAACTGATACTTCGTATCAGGTCTCTTGATTTTCACTTCAACAACGGGTGCGCACGGCACGACAGTCAGCTTGACGACCGTTTGATTCTTCGAATTCTTTATGTAAGTCTGACACGTGGACAAAGGCAGGCCGACTAATGAGACACCATTAATCGCTATTATTTGATCGCCAATATTAAGCTGTCCGCAACGTGCGGCAGCGCCGGCCGGCGCCAGGTTCGCTATGACTACGGTTGGCAGCATCGAGCCCCATCCAGATTCAACGATTACCACACCAAGAATCTCACCCTTCGCTTTTGGTACCACTACCTGCAAGCAGAACGATGCTGACTGCCACGCTGCGATCGTACGACAGGTATTTCAAATAAGAATCATTTGCTATCGACTGAGGCATCCCCGGCGATATTTAGCGCGCTATATTTTCTCACGCGATTTTCGTGACTTGAAAGTCACGACGGAGTTTTGACTAGAGATTCGACCGTTTCGTCAAAGCGTCTTCTGTATTTCGCAGTTACCGGGATATCGAATGATTAACGGTTGCCGGATTAAGAAGCGGGAGAGACGAGAGGCCTCACACAGAGTCGCATCGGTAGTTTACCTCTTTCTGCATCTCTTTCTTCGCGAACATCTGCAACTCGTCGCCGAATATCTCTTGCGAATTGAGCACCTCCTGGTAATCCATCTCCTTAACGAAACTATGGTCTTCTATCCCGTTTGCCTTTAGGAACTCCATGTAAGCTACTTGGAATGCTTGTCCGATACTTTGTGCTATGAATTGAGCCTCCTCACTCTCGAAAACGTGGCAGATCATCTTCGGAGTTCTGTTAATTTTCGGCACCTCCTCCATCTCGTGCGGCACGAAGCGTCGTCGCGCCATCAGCACTACCAAGTCGCCGATATCCGCAATGTACGAGATCGTGCGCAGAGCGTGATCCATCATAATCTCCTTGAGATCCGTGTTGAGCACCATGATCTTTTCCGTCGAAATGAACAGGTCCACCTCCGTGCTCGGCTGAGTGTCACCGTCCGGTGCCTGAATAAGCAGCAGAAAAAGCGCTCATTTTAGAAAAGTCCCGCGTCAATGCGAAAACCTGAAGGCCACGGCACGCAGAAAAACACAAGCGGCAAGAGTTGAAATGCTCGACTGTGATTGAACGATTCGCTTTAATTCCGCATAGTTTACGTTTGGCTTACGTTAAACATAGGTTTATCGAATTAGATTCAGCAGAGTTTAACTTTGCATCGAGTTTACATTGTTCTCCGTGCCATTCGCTCAACTCGCGCAGACCTCGTGCGGGAATATACGTACCAACGCCTGTCACGAGGAAGCAGCATGTGTGACAAAGTAGAGAGAACAAGTAATTAATTATGGATATTCGGGTCTTACAAATAAGTTGAACACATACATCGCTTAAACCACTAATAAAGTAAGTAAGTAAGTGGTGCACGAACAAGTATGAACGGTGTAAAGTTAAGCGTCATCAGCGGCGCTGTCAAACCTGAGAGTTTGACAGATAATGGTCCGGTGACATCCACCCGACCTCCGTTTAATTCGCAAGAGATAGAGAGACACAGAGATAGAGAGATAGAAAGATAAGTAAAGAGAGAGAGAGAGAGAGAGAGAGAGAGAGAGAGAGAGAGAAAGAGAGAGAGAGAGAGAGACTCTTTCACGTCGCTACCAATTGAATGGGGAGATATATGCGTGCGTCGTAAAATGCGGTAACAAACATCGGTCTCGGTGATCGAAAAGTGCAATTACGGGGGAGATTGCGGTAAATTTAGCACCGGAGTAAAGTAAAGAATGAACGTCAAGCCAACGGGATGACCGTGAGGTGAGTTGAGTTTTTTTTCTTTTTTTTGTTCTTTTTTTTCTTTTTTTTTCTTTTACGCTACGTGTTTCGCCGGTCACTATAAATCAATATATAGAAGAGGGATAAGACGAACGCGACTGCACGAACGACTGATCCTTTCAGTAGAGAACGCGAAAGGACAGCCAATCGGTCGGTCGGCGGGTGTACGCTGCGACAGGGGGCTGGGGTTCAGGGTTGAGGGTGAGAATTGGGTGATTGTTGTCTTGGGAAGATGAAGGGCAAGGCGGACCTTTATTTTCGTCACTGCCTCCTCCACCATGTGTTTCTTAAGGCGCTTACGCCGTTTACGTCCCCCTTCCTCTTCCACCTCCACCGACCCGAGAAACTGTAGTCTGAAAACGGTCGTGGACCCCAAGCAGCCACTGATCGGGGCCAGTTTCGGCTGGGCCCCAAGCGCGTGCGACTCGGACTGGCCCCCACCAGAAGCGCTCCCTATTAGTTCTTCGCTCGAGTCGCACTCGTCCTCCTCTAGGCTTCCTTGCGAGGCAATGCTGCAGCGACCATAACCATGCTGCCCCCCATAGTTTAAGAGTGTTGCCTGCATCGGCACTGGCCCGTCCTTCCGTTATGCACGCGCCAAACAAACAAACAAACAAAGGCTCTGCTAGTCACACATCGCCACGCACCACCAAGACTGAACGAGAGGCAAAAGAGCCAATTGTTCATGAGAGATAGAGATAGAGAGATAGAGAGAGAGAGAGAGAGAGAGAGAGAGAGAGAGAGAGAGAGAGAGAGAAATTGAGATAGAGATAGAGAGAGAAAGTTTGCACAAGAGTCGCTAACGATTCGACATCTTTCTTTCTATGTTTTCTTCTCTTCCTTTTCTCCGTTCTCTTTTTTTTTTTTGATTCCTTAATTCTCTTCGCTTCTCTATGTACGATATGTCATCATGCTTGTGTGTCCTTCTAGATAATAATGTCGAGTCGAAATCATTCGCACATACACACACGCGCGCGCATACAGATACATATATTATAATTTGGTTAATTAACAAACATACATACATACACACACACACCACACACACACACACACACTTTTTGCGTAAGATGCGACTCTCCCGATGCAACCTTCTGCTTTCGAGCAAGCTCTCGCGAGGTGTTTAGAAGCTGGTGCGACGTGCAAGCGTATACGCTACGGAATGGTAAAGAAAGTCGATGAATGAACTATATGCGGATTCGGCTGCGGATCGTGAAGAGAAAATGTATCGACGATGACTTTTTTCGTTCTCTTTCTCTTTATTTCTTTTTTGTTCGATAACGAGTCTCTAAGGTGACAACTCGTCTGACAACTCGGGGCTTGTAACTTCAAGGCTTTCAATGCTCCATTGGTCCAATCGCGTTTTTTTCCCAATTAGTCCGATTTACGCGACGTCCAAGGCGAACGACCAGTGACAACACATATAGAGTTATATTATTTTCCTTTCTTTTTTTTTTTTACTCGTGGCCGCGATAACGAGCTTTAATTCGAAGCGTCTCTTTGCAAGCGTGTTGCTTGAAGTCCGGATGAGAGGTATGAGAGAAGTCCGCTTGTGTGAGAAGCAACGGGACAGGCGCAAAAAATGAATGCGGCTTACTGAAAAGATACACCAGAGAGAACGTACGTTATGAGTGCCAAGTCGTTAATGTTAAAATCGATTGCAAGAGATTCAAATCTCGTTCACGGAGAAAAATGAGATTTCTCGAAGTCGTATAACAGTAAATGAAATTAATAAATCGCTATGTGCTTCTTTACAAAGTAATTCCATTTGCTACTCGCGTGCGTGAAAGAAGAAGAGCGCACTGTTACAAAAAAGATTCACAAACTCTATTTATATATGTTTAATCCTTGCATCATCGTTCTCTTATCGCTACGTTGTATGCACTAGAGGCCAGCTTCATAACATTGTGATCAATCATCATGCATGTACTATCGAATAAAATTGATGAGCGTGATGGAAATCCCGTGGACGAGAAGTTGCTCGAGTGTCTAAGCCTCAGACATTGGATGAATTATGAAGTCGCTTTTGACACACGTGCTTGATCATAGAAAGGCAATCTTTGATGCCTCGCTGCTGCGTGAAGCTGAAATATTCTTCCATCGGAAACTGAAAAGACGTCTCGTTCCCGCAATCCTAGTCCAGTCAACTACGTTCTGTGATCTCACTTCATATCACAAACAAGTCTCTCTATCCGTCTACAGTTGTGTAGTAAAGTCTGGTCGGGCGAACGAATGTACACGAGTGATTATAAGTACGTTCAATTTTGCAGGATGCTGTCACGTTAAAGTATCGTAGTGCCGCTATGTCGTTTACTCTACTTATATCTCGTTATTTCGTTCCTCTTTCTTTTCTCAAGAGACTGAAGTATATCGTGGGGAATTTCTTCAATTTTTCAACAGTTCACTCAAGACGGGACGTCTTCATTGGCAAGATAAGACGCCGTTGTGACGCGATTTCCTTTCTCTCTAACAAGACTACACGGCAATACATTGAATCTAACGCGAAACAAGAAGGAAAGTGTAGTTATCGGGTACATGGGCCAGCATCTTCCGTATATATTATAAGTTTTGTGCGTAAAATATGTCAATCAAAAGTCTACGGGGAAGCGGATGTAGCATAAGCGGATATAGCAAATATAGAAAAATATCTCGCAAAGAGAGATAAAGAGTGAAAAAGAGAGGTGAAAAGGTAAGTAGACGGATAGATACACCAATAGACAGAGATAGTTCAATAGGAAAAGACTGACAGACACACAGAAATAACATCAAAGTTACACTGAGAAGATGACAGTGTTCGGTGGTCAGGTGGTGGTGGTGGTGTTGGTGATGTGAGGAAGGGGGCGCTACACTGAAACATTCAGGCCTCTTTGCACAACGGCCAGTTCACAGTTATTTAGATTAATCGTATCAGATAGATAGTCAGAAATCAGCATTCAGATCTTTTTCTCAGCGAAGAGAAGTACTCGAGGAACGAAGGAAGACGAGCTTAAAATAAAATTATTCGTCGTAAAAAATTATTGTCAATTTATTGTAATATATTATCACTTATGACGCGAGAGATCGCGAGTGATAAAGAGAATTATCTAAATGCTGACAGTTGATCGCTCACACGAGCAGAACCTAAGAGCAAGAGGAAAGAATTTACTGCTTGGTTCGCTTAATATTGACAGTTTTCGAGAGAGAGAGAGAGAGAGAGAGAGAATAAGAGAGAGAGAGAGAGAATAAGAGAGAGAGAGAGAATAAGAGAGAGAGAGAGAATAAGAAAGAGAGAGAATAAGAGAGAGAGAGAATAAGAGAGAGAGAGAGAGAATAAGAGAGAGAGAATGAGAGAGAGGGGGGAGGGAGGGAAGGGGAGAGAGAGAGGGGGAGAGAGAGGGGGGAGAGAGAGAGAGAGAGAGAGAGAGAGAGAGAGAGAGAGAGAGAGAGAGAGAGAGAGAGAGAGAGAGAGATTGATCGGCACGACCGAAAGTAAAGAGCAACGTGTAATTGAAATAGGACACCCGATAGATTCAATAGAAATGAACAACCGTAACAGAGCTCGTCAACAAAGCGAACGTGAATGAGATACCCGAGTGGAAACGTATGTCTCAAATATCGTAAATGTGATCTGCTCTGTTTCAAGGGAAAGTATATCCGATATAACTATCTAAGGTCTTGCAACAAATCTTTAATCTACGGAGAATCGAAGTGGAAAAGAGTTTTAAGACACGACTCAATCAATGGACAGTAATCTTTCCTACAGAAAACTCTCAGGTTTAACTAATCACTTAAGATTCTAACATTTTAACCATTTGAGGTAACACACATAAACTGTTATTTTCAAAGTAAATAGCAAAAATAGAGATATTTTATGCGTATACGGTAAGAATGAGCGCCAATTTGACGCGTAGACCACTTTTTTGCAGCACAATTATCGCGGTACTTTATTACAGCGTTCAATTTTCGAGAAATTATAAATATTAAGAGTCCTCAAAAAGTTAAAAATCTTGGACATTGAAATACATTATTGCAGATGAATATACTGCACTGTTGTTCACTACAAATTAAGTAGCAAATTAAAATAGTATAAAGCATTCAGAGCATGCTGCTAATTTCTCCTTTTATCATTATTATTCGTAGTTGTAATTCTCTAGTAGTTTCCTGAGAAGCAAGTACATTATCTTTTGATATTCTCTAAGAGATAATAAAACCTCTAATAAAATTCGAGTTTTACTCTGATAGTCAACCGTTAAAAGGTCAACGAATGCCGAAATGTATCATAGCCAATGTATAGATTCTAGATATTTATTTGAAACTATATATATATATATATGTGTGTATATTATGCATCTCTCAAATTTAGTATACTAGAAAGCACTGATCTAAACGGATCAACAAAACAATGTACATTATATATAAACACAATCACATGTCATTTGCTATACGGATGCATTATCTATGACAAATTACGATCTGCTTACTTAATTAGTAGTTACAGCTCTTCTCAGAACCAAACGAAAGAAAATATATATTCTAGAAAAGTAATGTATAGATAACTTTGTTCTCAGTGTGACTTACATCACTTAACAATTCATACTGTACTCAATGATCTTTTTTCAACGCTTCGCATATCTTTAGAAAAAAAGTGTCCTCATATACATACTCTATTTATACACGAGATAAATAAATTGTGCTCTTATATACACATATCTGTATATAATTGTATGTGTGTATATATATATACACACACATTATCTTGTAAAAGTATGTGGTATCGGTTCAAGGAGAATAATATATCGGTTTTAAGATAAAGGAATAGTGAAAGATATGTTTCCAAATATGTACCTTTATCCTGGAGACGGCCTCCTCCGCTTGACACATTCGCGTCGACTTGGTCGGTTGACCTTCGCATACCAATTGTGTGGATCCCAAGTACCTCGCGCGGAATAGCACGCCCTCGATCAACACTGAGGGGTCGTCCAATAAGTCTGAAAGTGCCACAGACACGTACCATTTAGGACTCTTGGCTTCACTTTTTTCGCAGTTCAAAGCACCAAAGGCAACCAAGTGTTGCGAGAAATATCGAAGCGGTATGACAGAGGATACGGGTACAACGTTCAATAGCGGATCCTTTTGTCGCGCTTTTTTTGAATCTGTAGTTAAAGTTTTGGCCTTCATGTTGTAGCACAAAATTATAAAACAAATTTCGATACTGTATATATACTTGTCCTAGATAAAAATAAATCGGAACGCTCACTTCACTTTTGTGTCATTTAGGTCAAGATCGTATTTGCACGTAATAAGATCAACAATATAATTATGCTTTAATGTAAGAAATTCGTGATAAATTGTACATTCGAAATTCGCAAGACACTACGTTCGTCGAGCGTTGTATTCTGCGCGCAGGATTCGCAGATACAACGCGCATTGATGCTATTTGACATTGCTAATTTTATCGAGGAATTTGTAAACACCAATTTGCATGGAAAACACTCTCTTCCAACAGTGACGAGCGAGATTTACAGGTGACATATACATACAAACACTATGTCTCATGAACGTATCACGCGTGTTGGGAGACAATCACGCAAAAGTAGTCAAACATCAGCCTATCTGAGAAGAGATGATATAAAGAGATGTTAAATGATGACATGCAAAAATGTATAATGTATACTACAAGTGGTCGTGCTGATAGTAGTAATAACCAGTGCTCTCTAACTATGTTATGATATATACAGAATAAGAAGAAAGATTACCTACCATGTAATAATAATTAGAGGCACATGTCGATTTTGTATGTCCAAGCAAGCAGTGTAGGAAGAAATATTATATTAGTATAGAGTTATAATCGTCAATGCAAGAAGAGAAAAGAATCATATTGACGAGAGAATGCGACAGTACCTTCCTTGTTTCTGCTCTTTTTCTTTCCCTCCTTGTCCTGGAAAACAGAACAGACACAATACATTTTATATGATGACACAGATAAGATTCGAATATAAGGTGAACGATGACAGTTAAGTCCCGCAATAGTCATAAACGTAATTATCGAAGCTATTGGATATGTGTGCTAACCATGCAGTAACTGCCATATAACAGAGTCAAACATTGACATGTTCTTGTTTATGTCTATAAATAGCAGTCATAATAGTGTTAGTAATAGTAACAATGTTGGTAGTAATGGTAATAGTAATAGAATATTAATGGAGCAGCAGAAAGAGCGTTTAAATATTATCAATCTTGACATTCTCTTTTTTGCGAAGCAGTTATAACGATTGTTTTGTTCCATCTGAGTTATAAGAAGGAACTCTATGAAGTATTTTGTTCATTGTCATTAAATTATTTCCGTCGATCCAATGGTAAGCAAAGTATAATCAAATACTGCGAATAAAAGAAACGATCTAAGGTATGCATTATTATTCTTATGAACATTAACATTGAAACAGTTGTTGTCGCAAATTAAAGTAAGCGTAATAAGCAAAAGCCGTGAAGAAAAAAAAAATAAAGTAACTGGATAACGTCAAAAGAATATCCTTTCTTACGAAAAATAAAAAGAAGAATCAGCTTAAACATTGATCAACCATGACACCACAAGTATCTGAATACTGTCGAAAAGATTGTGTCTGCGAAATTTACACGTAAGTTTGTATTTAAGCTGATTAATATTTGTATGTGTGTGTGTGTGTGTGTTTGTAATATATGTGTATATTAATATTTGTATGTAATATATGTATATATAAATATACTATATATCTCGTTTAGCAACAGAAGGATAATAATGTCATGCACCAATCAGTGCTATGTTAATCACGGTCGAGACTAGAGATACAGACATCTACACTTTCTAAGTATAAAATAGATTCCGCAGAGTAGCATTTGAAAGGGCACCTTTTTCACCTTGTTGTTGGATTCCTTGAGACTCTGAGGGGATGTGGGGGAATTTTTGACTGGGGTCTTCTGCGGACTCGATGTAGGTTGCGCGGGAGTAGCTACTTCGCACTCAGAAGACGGCGATTGTATAACAGACACTACGGGAGGAGGAGAGATCGAGGTAGACGTCGAGGGCAAGGGCTCGGAAGGCGCTAGCGTCTCTATCGGGGCAACACTGAGGGTTTTGGGAGGGGTTTGCTTTGGAGTAGCGACTTTCGCATTCATTGGTGGTAACATTGTCCTAGTTTTAGGCTTCCTCCACCCCTGCGTAACACCAAGACAATATTAGTAGAACACCACTACCATTCAATCGCACGGAACATGTGTACATTATATTTATATCCTTCTTTGTGAAATCTCTAGATGCACACACGGTGGGGACGCCGCCTCTCAATATCGCTTAGCGGAAAGTTACAGAACGTGTGCACGTGTGTACAGAGAATACATTGTCACAAGTATGATCACTTGTCTTCCCGACGAGACATTAACCAGGAACAAATGGGAGAATGACTTATCGGTGTACAACAACTATGGGGGGTAATGAGAGCGAGACGATCCGATGAAATGTCACGAGTCAGATATACACTCTCACCTTGTCGTCGTAGAATCCTTGATCGTCCGTTCTCTGCTGACCGAGCAATCGGTCCGTCTCGAGGTCGGTGTCCGCCTCTTCCTCATCCGCACACTCCTCGATCTCCACATCTGCCTCGTCACCCACGCGACGTGCTTCCGACTCTTCGCTGTTGCTCTCCATACAGACTCTCCGCCTGCCATCCATTATACTACATCTTAGTTAGATGCGTTTACGCGCGAAATAGTGAGTCAGCCAAAGGGTATCCCAAACGTATGTTTCACCCAGCGACAAGCGAGTATTCGCAGCGATAACAAAGAAAGGACAAGTGCAAAGAAGTGTGTCCCGTGATGAGAATATCGGGGACCGACGATGTGCTATATCCACAACAATTGGAATACCCTTGGAACCGCACAGGACAGAACGTAAGATACCTTGGTATCCATATCGGACTGACGCTTGGCTCCGGCGGATCTTCGGACGGTGATTTCACAGGCAGAGTTTTAGTCCTTTGCAGCGCCATCCTAATGTCCTTGATGGCCGCTTCCACCTCGCCGCCTATCTCTAAACTTACACTTTGCCGACCTTGAGGCGCCGGCGGTGGAGGTGTGCCCAAAGGATCTAGCCCGTCAAGCTGCAACTCGTTCGTGTCGTACGAGTTCTCCTTCTTCGCGACGAACAGATCGGGCGACGTGGTCTTCAGCGTGTGTAAAATGTCCTTCGTTACGTTCAGACTAACGTCCTTGCTGGAGTCGTTCTCCGTGCCCAACATGTCGTTACGAGTTCTCTGTATAATCTCCTTCTCGATCTCGTTGATCTGTCGTTTCATGAGCATCACAGTGGGATTGTTGTTGTCGGTGTCGCTCGCGTGCCCACTAGATAGCCCGTCCTCCAACACCGGCATGCTAGTGTATATTCTCAGGGAATCCGAATTATTCCCCAAATCGCCGACCGAGCCCAGGAGACCACTCGCCGGCATCAATTCATTATCCATCATCATGAGGGACACTTCGCTGTCCAAGTCCCCGCAATTGCTATCGCAATCGGTCGTCTCGGGACTCAGCGTGAAATTACGCGAGTGTCCCACTTGCAAACCGACCTCGGTCTCCCCGAGATCCTCGCTGCTACCGGTTCCCACTGACAAGTCCAAGAAGTTGTTCTCGTGTTCACCTGTCTGAAAGAAGCAACCAACACTGAGCGCAAGTGTTCGCTCCGTAATGACGTGTCGAGCTTTTAAACGCGAAAAGCCTTTCGGAGCGATCGTATAGTGCAAGTATTAAAATATATCTGTCTATAAATACGGTGTTATATATTTAGAAGCCAACTACTAGAGCAAGTACAATTTCTGAAAATGCTTATTTCTGTTGGTATCGCATAGTTATTATCAATCTTGCTTGCATCTTAGATCTTTTTTTATTGCAATTTATGGTACACGAGTATACTCATGTATTATAAACTTTGTTTAAAATGCTACAGATACAAAACCCAAGTTCATGCTGTTTATTTATACGAAAGAAATAAATGAAGTAATTTCAGAGGTAACGTTAGGCGATTTATAAATTTGCACTCTTACATTTTGTGGGAATTCCGCTCGTTGCTTTTTAGGAGACTCGTGTACCATAACCTCCTCTGTTGCTGGTGGGCCACTAGCTAATCGCTGACCAACGTATGCACTTCCTCCTTGTCTTCGTAGTTCGTAATCAAGATCCTTGAACGACACAAAAGCGACTTGTTAATTACTCGCGATTTATAAATTTAAATTACTTCTACATTATGCATCTTTTCTCTTGTATGAATAATACAACAATCCCTGGGAATGTTTCTTTCGCAGGTATGTCTTTGGAAAGTGGAGCGATTCAATATCTTATCAGTGAATATATGCATGCTTTTAATAATCCGAAGCAAATAAAGAACTTACCTGGAAAGGGAAAGATTCTATATTGTTCTCCTTTTCTTTCGTCGGCGCCGGGCACTTGAAAAATTCCTCTAATACCTTTCGTGTCTCTGAGAATTCGTACAGGTAGTCGAACGTACTACCTCCTGGCGAAACAAGACTGCTTATATTATCGGCAGGTAAAGTCGATGGCTTCAAAGAGTCCTCCTCCTCCTCCTCTTCGACTTTTGGTGATGGCGGTGAAGGATTGACAGACTGATCCTCAGTGCTAGCATTTTCTATCACAGTCTTGTCTACAACAATTTCTGCAGAAGTATCCTCTTTCTTGATGCATAAAACAGATGAATAGATGTCAGAAATCATTAGAATTCCATTTTAGCGCGCGCGATTTCGTTATAGACGATTCTTTGTGTATTTTTCTACGCACCTCATTGTGATTTGGTGTTGTCGGCAATATTCTCTGTGGAAAACCAGGCCTTGGTGTCATGTACATAGAGGGCGACGACAGTAAGCTAGGAAGCTGTGGATTTTCGCGAACTCCATAACGTCTCGGACTGCCAGAGTATTGAGCGATCGGCAATTCACCAATGACTCTTGCGACTTTGTGATTACGTTCCGGAGAAGGGGAATCCGCTTCGCAATCGCTCGCCGGCGTAACGACCTATCGAGACAAAATGTGAGATATTCCCGGGGAATCTGTAGATTTACCTTCTACATGTGTACCATGCCATTCACTCACTTTGAAAAAGTCTGAAGTATTGCGATGATATGCCGTCGTAGGACTAGGAGTACTCCCGACGCTAGAGCTTGGTGGCTCTGGTGCGATACGACCTCTCTGAGAATCGTCCGTTTCCACATCCAGACTCGTCGTCGTGATTTGGTTCGTGTTGCTCGACGCTAGATCCAATCTCAATCCCTGCCAATTGTCATCGATATCGTCGAAGACAACCACCTCGCCGTCGCTGACAATGGCCATACTTCTCGCGGGTGTATTGTGATTCGACTGATAATCTACGCAGCTCTTTGGTAATCCATAGTCCAGGTCGGTAATACTTTTCGGTATAGTATACTCTACATTATTGCTATTTAAGATTGAATCGTAATTAATTATGCGACTGCTACGATTGCTCTTGGGAGAGTCGTAATCGAGAATCAATTTCGCGGGGTTACGCCGCACCGAATGCACCTCGGAGGCAAACACAGTCTCTGTCACTTCTCGATTTGCACGTTGCTTCCTAGTCTCACCGCATCTGAAAATTCGACAGACGTGTTACACAGACGTGAGTATATATCTTACAAAGAACATCAGAGAACTTGTATGGACACATGCAGAGTTAATTAGTAGAGGCTCAATTACCGGCTTCGCAATTCCCATATGGTCTGTGTGCTCGGGGACTTGTTGTTCTTCTTAACAGACAGTTTATTATCAGTTTGAATGTCCTCGTTATTTATGGAATTCGACGCAGCCAGAAATCGTGATTTTCGAGCTGCTACCTTCCCTCGGCTCTGTGAGAATACCTCTCGTCCGCCAGCAATCTCTATGATTCTGCGGAACAACATAAGAAATTGTTACATGCCTGTATACCAAATATAACAAGCTTATTTCATGATTCTACAAGATAATCTGAATTCTACAGAGTACACATTCTTCAAGAGTTTCATCCTACATAAAATCAATGTTTATTATTGGGACATATGCGTGCGAGGCTAACAATACAATTACAGATATCAGTTACTGCAAGAAGGGGACGCAAGAGTTGAAAGAGAATTAGAGAGAAGAAAACAAATATACCTACAACTCTCCCATCTTACTTAAACCGAAACTACTACAAGGCGCTACGCATCGCTATCGAAACGTGCAAGACATTCCTCGTGAAATTACACTTCTTCGGTAACCGTGGTATCGATACAACCTGTCACAAGTGTCGACGTCGAATTTAGCAGCCAGCGAGAATGACGTACACACCGACATGATGCACCGGGAGGAATAAAATTTCGTCCTGTCGCATCAACCGGCCGAGAAGAACGCCGGGTGTACAATTCGTGGAAACGGAATTCGACGTCTCGCGCGTGACAGGTGAGTTAACCCCAAAAAGCTGACGCGTGCTACCACGACCGTTCGTCTTTCGTTCGTTGGCGCGCGCGCGCGCGCGCGCACAACGATCGCGCGGTCCCCCATAATTTACACTGTGATTGCGTTTAATACGCCCGCCGGCACACGCCTTCTGCGAACTAATCTCATCCTTACGCGCAATTTGCCAGTCTTTGAGATGCGGCCCGTCGACCTGGAATGCTTTATTGAAAGATATTCATCGAGACCACTGACGCGCCTGAGGATCATGGCCGAGGCGTTGACGCGGACGCGCGCGCGCCTGGTATGTGTGTGCGTTGTGTGTGTGTGTGTGTGTGTGTGTGTGATGCGTGTGCACGCGGCACACCACGGGCAGGAGAACAGGCGCGACTTTTAATCTCCCGTTAGCTCCCGTGACTCAATGTGCTCGCGCGTTGCTTTCGACAACACAGCTCAGCCTTATCTCGCTGACTCGAGCGAAGATCAACATCGCGAAATATAGTGCCGGAGCGTAAGTCGTTGCGATCCTGAGTTACGCACTGTGAGTGTGATCTCCCTTTTAAATAACAGATGTAGCGCGGTAGCCGGCGGGATAACCTCAATTTGCGATAGGCTGTTGGCATTTTATAACCATGCGCGTTCGTCTTTCCGGGCATTAACATGCAGCTGTCACCCATACACACGTACATGGGGACGCGGATTATGATAAATAAGTAAATCAATAATGCGTGAGATCAGAAAATCCTGATAACCTAGTTGCATCGCGTGTTAATCGCGAGTACACTACAGTAAAGGCACGGAAAAATACCTCTTTTTCAGAGGTGTTCGGAGGGAAGCTTATGAACCGTAGAAAAAAATACGACTTGATAGATCGATAGAGTACACTTTGAAGATATTTTTATTACGTCGGTGGACGGATATGTTAACATATGTTGCCGTCGCACAGCATTGTAGACCACTGTGATTTAGAAAACCATCGGCGGCATCGAGAAACTTAAGTTGTAATTATCTGAAATGAAATCGGATCGGAAAGTTTTGAAACTATATGAGTGTAATTTCCGTTGCACATAGGGATATTTTAAAATAATGAAATAGCAGCGGTTTGGAGACACAAACTCAAAATTTCACTAAAATTTGGCTTCTCAGACATCTCGTTCTCCGAAACTAAGAAGAATAACCAAAAACCCTTACAACCCTGCAACGGAAACTACTCATTTTGTGAAGTTACTGTTAAAACCGTAAGTCAATCGGTCGAAAATTGCTCTAGTTATGGATGCCGCCAGTTGAGAAAAAGTGATTTTGAGAAAAACGCGTTTAAAGTTTTAATATGAATTATTTAACAGAAATCAGTCGAATATTTTAGCATAGCATAGGGAATCTATTTCAGGGCCATAATTTGAATTCCCCATAACATCATCTCCTGTATCTCCTCACTCTTTGATCTGCGCTGCATTCTTCCTTCGCGCGCCGCTGATTGCGCTCGCTTCTCAGCACCGTTATGTAACAAGTATAATATTTGCATTATATATATATATATGTGTTATATAACGTTATATTTCTGTTATATAATTGCAACTTTTATGAACAGGACATTACAACTAACGTGTATGTGCTTGCAACATCCACGTTATATTACATGTCACATTTGTTATATCACGGCAAACTAACTTTTATTTATCAGTGTTTGCTGAGGATTTGTATAGCCAAAACACATGAAGCTAAAAAGGCTAAGAGGAGTACTAACGATCGTTTCGGGCCGTCAACGGGTGATCGCGGCCAAGTACGCATGCGTTTGCTTTAACTAAAACTCATATAACTCGAGAAATACTTCGAATTTCATGAGACCCTTTGAGGAGCATACTTCTAAAGTATCAATCTTTCGAAAAATGTAAAAAAAAATCGATTTTTTAAAAATGTTACTGTAGTGTACCCCGTTAAGAGTATCCTACCGTGGTCGGAGTATATCGAGAAGACAGTTAAAACAAAATTAGATCGTACACTTTATCGATTACTGGATACGTTATAGATATATTGCTAGAACGCTTATAAAATGCGGCCTGATATTCTCGCAATTTTCTCTAGGCGAATCGAACAGTATCGAATAATTTGCACTTTTTTTCGATTGATCGGCCATTTCTCAAATTAACGCGCCATTACCGATTTTACTCCGACGGTGCAAACCATGTTATTTACAACGTAGTTTCGCGCAAAAAAAAAGCTTTCGTGCAATTTGACATCATCGTGTATTCAAAGCGGAGTGGTCGAAATTACATTCCGAATAACAAAGCAGGAACTGATGTAACGCGTGTTTTCGATTTTGCAAGCTGAAATCTAACGTAACTTAAATCCGTATTTCCGGTCGAACGTGAGTCCACGAAAATTGCGTTTAATTGGGTTTTAATCGTCCCCGAAGCGATCCGAATCCGATTCAAACAAAAATGTCGGAAATTCCGACATGCGCACTTTTGAAACGTTCAAATTAAACACGTTTCCAATTTGTCCGCGACAAAATAACTCTGTTTTACACAAGAATAAAATATAAAAAATATGTATACATATATCGAGGATACATGTTATAAAGAAAGAATGGCGCGGCGGATCATGCGCGTTTGCAACACCGCCGCCCTGTATTGTAATTAGAGATTCTCCCGATTAAGAGTGATTCTCATCAAATTCTAATGAAGTTAATCGACAATTACCAACAGCCTACAGAATTACCAACAGCCAATTTCTAACCGTGTAATTTATCGTCCAGTGATGATTAAACTTTAATAATCCCGTGAGGAACCATATCAGCAATAAATAAAGAATGTGGTATTTAACTGACAGCAATTTGAGCTATAAATTATAGAGGAAAAATATAAAAGAAAATTTTTTCGTCGTTTCAACAGGAAAGAAACTTATTTTCAACTCTTTTCCATATTGACCGGCTGAGTCGTCAATGATCGATTAGCCTGATCAAAATTTCATGAAAATTATCCTAAATGCGTGACTCGGTCCTGACGAGCAAAATTCCTCGGCATTTCAAATCATGAAGATGTCTTCGGGCGAAATTACCGCCGACGACAAAGACGTTCCGCACGAGTGAGCGAGCGAGCGAGCGAGAGAGAAGGAAAGAAAGAAAGAACGAAAGAAAGAAAGGAAAGCTGTTTGCCAGACGGATTACGCCATCGTGGGCGTATTGACTTGTTTGCCATACATTGAGTGGGTTGCAATACATTAATGGTAGAGCGAGTGAGAGAGAGTTGCTATTTGATGGACATATCCGCTCGAGTATCGTTGGCATTAAGCCTGAAATTAACGCCCCGCTGGATATGTGCGATACATCGACGACGCGGACAGCGACTGTCCGGGGGTTGAAACCCGACCAGCACCACCACCTATATCGGCTATCGAAACCGCTCGTCCGCGTGTACGCGACTATAGATACGCGAAAGACCAAACATCAAATAGACTTCCATCGCGCCGGCCCAGGGCGTTTCGCGCGCGGCGGCTCGCAAACGCGTCGCGAATTTAGCGCCGCCGAAACGCGACCGAAGGATGTAACATATTTTCACTGCGTGCGCGCAAAGTATTTATAACACCTCGCCTTTAAACCGCTCGCTATCGATTTCCATGCAATCCCGCCGTTCGGCTCGATAATCCGCGCGTTTTAATTAGTTTCAATTTCTACTTTGCCTCTTTTTTTCTTTCTCGCGCTTAAGTCTCTCTCTCTCTCTCTCTCTCTCTCCCTCTCTCTCTCTTTCATCCCCCCTCTCTCTGTCCCGCTCTCTCTCTCTCTCTCTCTCTCTCTCTCTCTCTCTCTCTCTCTCTCTCTCTCTCTCTCTCTCTCTCTCTCTCTCTCTCTCTCTCTCTCTTTCTTTCTTCCTCGAATTTTAAATGATTTTCAATTGATTAATATTTGTACATATTAATATTATATTACGCGCGCACACACACACACACACAAACACGTATGGATACGCGCCGAGTAATCATTAATTAGATATTACATATTACATATTTGTTTGTGCACTATTCCCTTGCGAAGATCGACAATTTATGGTTGAAACGATTAAGCCAACAAGCCAGCTTTGTAATTGAAGAAATGGAGCGTCTGTTTCGCGTGAATTTCGCGTCGACCAATATTTGACTTCCGACGCAACATTCGACTACGAAACTCGCGGAAGACCCCCACCCCGCTGCCCTGCACTTCCTGCGGCGTTATTTCCGGCGGTTCTCCGCTTTGTATCCGAAACTCTTTGCACACATGGGTGCGCGCACGATCGGATGATCCATTACCTCGAGTCCCGAAGCTTGTAGCTGGGGCCACCCTTGGCCGAGGTCAGAATGTACACGGGGTTCTCCTCGGGCCCGCTGTCGTCCTGCTGCGACTGAGCCTGATGATCGCTGCCGGGCAGACTCCCATACTGCGGCGCGTCCTCGCTGCGTCCCGACGCCGAGGACGAGCTCGACGAGAGCGGCTTCGTGGCGATCGACAATTGGCCCTCGACCGTGAAACCGGGCACCACGCTCGCCGTCCTACGGGACAGCGAACCTGATTTTTTTCTGCCATTCGCTCGTTTCCTATACCTACGAACGTAACTTGACAATCTTAACAATCGGCAATCGTTGCTGTTCGGGGTGGGATAATTCTTAACTAACACAGAAAGCTAACGCGGGGTCGAGCGTTCTCGACGCGTGAATTTTCATCCCGCGAAAACTCGGAGCGAAAGCGGGCGCCGTTGGAAAGTCGTGCGTAAAGTCGCTCGTAGAAGTCGAGGAGTTCGATGGCGCGCACACACACACACATTCGTAACGGGCCGTAGCGGGTCTTCAGCGAGCGGAATGGCTCGTGAATTCGGCCGATAAGACGTCTATAGACGCATCCGCGATCGCGAACTCGAGCCCGCTATGACAAAAAGATCCATCGAAACAACTCGAGTCGAGTCGAGCGAACTGAATTTCAAGGCTCGCATGGCGCAGCAATTGTCCCAATTCCAGCGATCAAATTCTGTTCTTTGAGACTCTTGCTTGCACGAGGCAAACTGGAAATCTAGTCTGACGGGGGGGGGGGGTCGTGAAGCTGACGCGCGACGTATATTATCAGTCACGTTTATCGTCCGATTTACTCGATCCTCCCCAGCCAAAGGTAGAATTACGCAATTAGCCTCGATTAAGCAATTAGCCGTCCCATAACGCGCGTCATTCGCGAGGCGCCGGAAGACGCGCTTCTGCGAAGATTGCCGGCGATATTTCATCGTCTCGCGCCCCCGAGATATCGCCGGCAATCTTCGGAGCTATGTGCTGCTTCTCGCGCGAAATTATCCATCGGCATATTAGGCTCGATCGCTCGAGAGGAAGAGGAAGTTCCTCTCCCGCGCGTCGCGTCACTCCTCTCGGAAGTGCGATTAACCCGATCTCTCCCTCGCTTTCTCCCTCTCTCCCTCTCTCTCTCTCTCTCTTTCTTGGGCACAGCCGCTCCGTCGGCTCTCTCGTAAACCGTAAATCGGTTTAACTTGCCTGTCTGAGGTGTCGCGCTCGAGGTCGATCATGTCGTCCGATAACGTGGGAACGCTCGTCGACGTGTTCGTAGAGGCGATGGTGACGGTTGCTGTGGTGGTGGTCGCGGCGACGGCGACGGCGGCGGCGGCGGCGGCGGCGGTGGCGATAGCGGTGGCCTCCGTCTGGCAGGGGCTGTCATGCGGCTGGCTGCTCTGCGTGGAAGCCCCCGGGACCGGGGGTGGGCCGCCCCTAGGCCGGCATTTCGGAAAGAGTCGGTTCAAGTCGGCGTTCTCCAAGATCAGGCTTGTCATCGCCACGGCGCGTTCATGTCTCTCAACAGGATGTCCATTCTGCGGGGCAGAGACAGAGGGAGAGTGAGAGGGAGCAGTTAACGGAGGTAAATATGTGCGTGCGACAAGTGACATACAGCCGGTGCATATTGGGTGCACACGCAAGTGACGGAGATTCAGCTCTTAATTAGCCTCGCCGGAGACTCGTCATTTGTCCGACATAACAATAACATCGAGGAAAATTTCACTTCATTTCATGAGGTCTTTCCTAATTTCTAATCCCTGGCGATGCCCTCCACTGCGTATCTCGATTCACGTCGTAAATCCTCGACAGAATCAACGTTTGGATTAACTTCCCTCTGACGAGGTCCTGACACGAATCTCAGATAGATGTCCAGTGTTAACACGTTGATCGGCTCGCTGATTATATCAATGTTTACTTCAAGTTCGAATCGCTAGATATACAGCAAACAAATGCAATTTACGCTACACATACGCGGCACATATTCCGGCTCACTTCATCGGTTCGCGATTGGCTGTATATTTTGGCTATATTTGTCCTTCGCGATTGATCGCAATTTAATACGTAAACTGGAGCGTAAACGCGAGCGCGAATATTCCATCGTCGACCATCGGTAATACCGCAGGGGTCAACGTGTTAATCAAGAGATAAACAATGATCCTCGCGCCAAGCGCTCCCTCGCGATGAAGGCGGAGATCGCCTGTATGGGGAGAAAAAAGTTTGCTCGAGTCGACATGACAATGAACGAGTCGAACGAGCTGTGTTATCGCTGAAGCAAACGGAACTCCCGGCTCTCTCGTGGAGCGGACTCGCTTCACGGAGAGGCAGAAATTTCCCTCTTCGCGACTAAAACGCCTTCGGTTCGGTCACAGTCGCGTTAATTCAAGCGATCCTTTTTCCTGCGTCGGAACAATCTAAACGGATCATCGTCATTGTCATCGTCGTCGTCGAAATGCGCACCGCTGCTTTCTCGAGCAAGTGCGCGGGTAAGAAATCCCGGCTCCTTCTTCTGTTTGCTCTAACGAGGTCGTATTCGCACATGAGGGAGAGAGGGAGAGAGAGAGAAAGAGAAAGAGAGAGAGAGAGAGAGAGAGAGAGAGAGAGAGAGAGAGAGAGAGAGAGAGAGAGAAAGAGCGCATGCCACTCAAGCGCGTCGCGGTACTCACGGTGCTCGCGACACCGCGGAAGTGTTATACTTCGTACGACGGCAGTAGGTGTGTTCAAAGGGGTGCCGGTGGCGGCAGTGTGACGATGGGGTTAGGTCAGTGGTGTACACCGAGGCGAAAGGCAAACCGAAATACACACGAACGAGCTGCTGCGCCGGCCGCCGCCTCCGCCTTCTCCTGGTTGCTAGCTGGTTGCCGCTTTCGCGCTCCGTCGAACACTCGCCAGCGGATAAATTACTTCGCACTGGTATCGATAACGGAAGAAGTTGTCGCGTCGTCGAGCTGGAGTCGGAGAGGTAACACGCTCGCTTGTGAGTTACTTGAATATTTCGGAAACGACCCGGTAACGACTCGACGATGACGTTAATCCCCGTCGTTAATAACGTCGTCGATAATGGCGGGGCGCTCGTCGTGATTGTCTTTTTCTTCTTATGCATCGGTAACGAGTACGATCGTTTACTTTATATGCGCGGAGCACATAACATGGCAACACCAATAATTTAATAATAATAATAATTATTATTATAATAATTGTAAGAAGAATGATGATAAAAAATAATAAAAATAAGAAAAAGAAGAAGATAATAAAAATAATAATAATAATAATGATGATGATAATATAATAGTAATAATAACAATAATGATAATGATAATACACTGTTCAAAAGAATTATGGCATAGATCATTTATTGCCGAAAATTGGCCAACTTTGACTGGCGATTACTTCGCGAAAAATTATTGTAGACTAATGATTTTTTTTCAAAATAAAGCTTGAAGTCTCTACTTTAAGAATGTATCTCCATTTTTTACATGCGATACACCCCTGACATCTGAGGGCATGTTTGGTATACTGAAAATTGCAAAGTTTGATGGAATGCATGAACGTGGACAATTTTTTTTCGGGGACGCCGTTTGCATCGTCATAAAGTTCAAATCTTCCTCTTCAATTTGAAAAAAAAGTGGAGTTGCTACAATTTTTTTTTGCAAAGTTACAGCCCTTCAAAAATATCGTTGTTTTTGGCCTTCGGGCCAAGTGTGTACGCGTGTGTGTGTGTGTGTGTGTGTGTGTCCGTGACAGAAGAGATAAGGACCCCGTGGTGCGTCACTTCCACAGTAATTATTGACTCATCGCATGCATCGCATGCAAAAAATGGAGATACATTCTTAAAGTAGAGACTTCAAGAAGCTTTATTTTGAAAAAAAAAAAAATTCATTAGTCTACAATAATTTTTCGCGAAGTAATCACCAGTCAAAGTTGGCCAATTTTCGGCAATAAATTATCTATGCCATAATTCTTTTGAGCAGTGTATAATAATAACAATAATAACAATAATAATAATAATAACAATAATAGTAATAATAATTGTAAGAAGAAAAGAGAGAAAATCCACGAGTGACCGCGTTCGTTAGTATATCATAACCCTCGATGTATCGACTTCGTTGCGGAAGCACGTATGCCGTATAGAGCGAGAAACAGCACCACCAAGCTGGGACATCGAGCGCGCGCACGAGCGTTTATGTTAGTTTCGTATCACTGAACGCGACTTACTCTCACGCGTTCATCCTCACACGGCCGGCATCCGACATACTTATGTAACGTACGTGTAGCACATTGTAACGTATTGCCAGTAATATTTGCCTGCCTGTCGATTTCTAGTGAAACGCCAGAGCGCCGCGCGTACAGATCTCTCCTGTCGGACGCGTTTCCGCGCGCGTTGCTTAGAAATCGTGCCGTTTTTCCCGGGAAATCGCCGGAGAAGGGAGAATTATGCGATGGTGGATAATGTTATTATCGATATTTCGTCAGCAGTGTATTAATCAAATTACAATATATGTACCGTATGTTTCGCGACTTATATTTCCGCCGTATTTTTGCGGACACATTTTCGAGGGGATCCTGATGACGTTTTACCGTTTCGTCCTTTGGACGGTTTTTTTTATCCGTGTTATTTCTGCGTTTTATACGAGTATATATATATATATATGTTTTGACGGATGGACACGACATATTTGTATTCGCGGAATATCAGGAGCTAAATCTTTTATAGTTTATATCGGTGATTAAATGTCGAAGACGAAGAGAGATCCGCTGAGGAGAGAAAGAAATAGATGAAGCAAGCGTGGAATAAATCGGACCAGCCGAGGGAAAGAGTGAATATAGGATCAAGGAAGAAATAAGCAAATATTCCTCACCCGTGCGTGAATTCCCCGGAATCCTCCGCGCGGAATTTAGCGAATCGCGCGATCTCAAAGTTATAATTAAAAACAGCGGCGGCGGCGGCGACGGCGCGCGCGCGCCCGACTCATTTTCTCGAATAATTCCAAGCATGTGCGACGTAATAAATACAAGAAACGAGACACGCATGAGAACACATTATGGTGCAGTGGTGACAATTTGTCATGTAAATCTCCGCGTCCCGTAAAACCCGTATCTTTTCCGTGTCTCGCCGGCTGGGCGGCTGAAGGAATTGGCTCCTCTTTGGACGACGCTGCGAAACAACCGGAATTACGGAAGCACGCGAGCGGCGTACGTTGTGGCCCAAATAGCGTATAATTCGTGCCATAGAATCTAGACCTTATGCGCGCGGAACTTAGAGAGTGAGCGTTCCCCTGTTCGTCGACAGTGATAAAAACACGCTCAACTACTTGGCGCGGAAACGGGATGAACGAACCGACGACAACGACGACGACGCGCTGGCTGAACAGCAAGCTTTCTGTCAGAACCTCGCGAATCTTCCGTCATGAGTGACGCGCAATGTAAGTGCGATCGTTTACCAAAATTTAGGGAAGACGATGCATACAAAGGGTTAACTTCGCACGAGGAGCCGGTCGCCAGTAGGTGAAGAACTCGCGACAGGTTCCTCCTCGGCGACGACGTGAGGCAGAGGGCGGGGAACCTCGTCCGCGAGGACGAGCGATTCCCGCGCGCGATTTTCGTCTATTTTCCAACTCATCGGAATGAACCGAGTTGGCTTCCTTTTTTCTTCCCTCTCTGTGCCGCCGACTGTGCGTATTTCCGATGCATTCGTACAGTCGGTGGCGGGAGGATTGCAGAATTCTTTTCCCCAATGAATTTTGCAACGTCTCCGTATCCGATGAAAGAGAGAGAGAAAGAGAGAGAGAGAGAGCGAGAGAGAGAGAGAGAGAGAGGGAAAGAGAGAGAGAATCTTGTCCTCCCCGTAATTTTCCTGCTGAATATCGGATGCACTCCGGAGTTTATCGCGGTAAAAGTACCGCTGACTGGAAGAAAAAGATACAGAAGTAGTATCCGCCCGATTGTCATCTTCCACTGGAATTAGACGCGTCGGATGAAACTGTATTTTCTCCCAAACGAATGAGAGCCGCACGCGGACTCGCGGGAGAATTCTGACGTTGCCGTGTCGCTTTTTACCGCGCGTGCGAGGCGCATCTCCCGCGGTCGGGTCGTCCTCGATAGAATCGTAAAAAGGCGGGGAGAAAAGAGAGACACGGTAATCTAATAAAGTAGAGTCAGCGTGCTTCTACAAATTTATAGAGCAATAGTCGCCGTAATAAAGACCCGAAACGCGGCGGCCGAACTCACTCGGAAATATGGGAGAGGCGCCCCTATAAGCGCTTTCATCCAGCATTTTCCGCGCACAGTGTCTACCCCGTGGTCATTAATCCACGATCTACACTTTAATGCGAGTTTAGAAAGCGACGCGAAGGACAATGGCGCATATGTGTGTGTATAGACCAGCTGTCCCAGTAACTCTACGCCGCGCGCGATTTCCACTGAAACTGCAGCGCGCCCCCGGCTATCGACTTGCTCCTGTTTTCGAACTCTATCGCGCGGACGTCTTTCATCACGGACAAACAAATCCCTCATAGCTCTTAAAGAGATATATGCTCAT